CAAAAGGTGTTTTCAAACCTTATGTTATATATTGGCACAACGAGGCAAATTGCAAGTAACCAGACACATGAGTATTGAAGAACAAGTAATGATATTTTTGACAACAATTGGGAAAAATGCGTCAAGTCGTGATTGTGGGGAGGATTACCAGCATTCCGGTGAGACAATCTATAGATATGTCCATGCAGTTTGTGATGCGATATTGGAGTTGACGTCAGTCTTTATCAAGCCACTTGACTTCACTGATGTTCCATTGGAGATATCGACCGACCCAAGCTTCTACCCATTCTTTAAGTTACTTAATTATTTTTAATTAGTTGATAGTTAAGTTCATTGTTTCATAATTGTTGTTCGTCTTCACATATTACTAAAATGCAATTTTGTCAACAAGACTGTCTTTGAGCGATTGACGGTACACATATACGTGGATCGACGCCAGCTGAGGTAGCTAATACGTATCGAAATCGTAAAGGGGCATTGTTGCAGAATGTGATGGCTGTCTACGACTTCAATATGTTGTTTACATATGTTGTCACTGGCTGGGAAGGATCTGCCCATGACGGAAGGATTCTAAATTCAGTTCTAGATGATCCTGATTCGGGTTTCCCGCATCCTCCTCCAGGTATAACTAACTTGTTTATGTACTGTAGCTAAACTATAAACATTTTTTTTATGATTCTTCGAATAACATTCAGTTATTCATTATAGACAAATATTACTTAGTAGATGCGGGTTATGCGAACAGTGGTGGGTTCCTCGCCCCACATAGACGAGTTCCTTATCATGTTCCCGATGCACGTCGTAACCTTTCTGGACCTATGGAGTTGTTTAACTACAGACATGCATTGCTTCGGAATGTTGTGGAGAGGACCTTTGGTGTTTCTAAAAAAAGGTTCTGCATTCTTGATGGCATGAATAATTACCCGTTGTAGAAGCAAGCTAACATTGTTATGACATGTTGTGTCATTCATAATTTTATCAAAAGGTTCGATACGAACGACTCTATCTTCCAAAGGTTTAATGGGAATGGAGTTTGTGAGGAAGGAAATGGGACGGGTTCGAATCAACTGACTCAACGTAATACAGACGACATGGGAAGGGTGAGGGATAGCATAACTACTACTCTGTGGGCAGAACATGAGTCCAGCTCATATTAGTAACTGAATATTGGGGTACAAAGAATTTTGAGGGATGATTATTAGTAGCTTCGTATTATTAATTTATATATGTATTAATGTCGTGTTTTTAAATGATATATTAGTGGTTGAACTTATTATGGAGAAATTGTTTTTAATTAAGCCCTTAAAAAATTACCAAACAACTAATTAATATTATTTAAATGTGAATTGAAAAGTTCAATAATCAAATAATATAAATTTGAAATAAAATGTATCAAAATATTATCTTAAAATCCTTTTTAAAAAAATAGATAAAACAATTATTCATTAATTTATTTAATTCAACTATAATATTCAAATAATTAACCAAACTGAACAAGTGATTTGAATAGATATTTCACCTGAATTACCAAAAATACCCCTACGTTCAACTAACTTACTGATGGCACGAGTGATGTGGGAGTTCATAAAGGTAATACACAACACTAGGTGCAAGCGCACAGCATTAGATAATTCTAATAAATAAACAACATTTTTAAATGCAAATACTTCTTTCAAAAAACTATTAAATACAACTCAATTCAACTCAACCCAACTTTTTTCAGAAAACTATTCTCAAAAGTGTAAAATAACGAACTAAAGGGAGCCAAAAGATTGAAGTCTTCCAAGAATTTCCTGTTTTGACAGAGGAAATTATTTCCACTTCCAGGATAGGTTTTGGAAGCAGTTGCTTAGAAGGGGAAAATATATTTAATATGTTGACAAGGTTGGGTGTAATCAATGTAAAATTAAAGCTCCTGATCAGATAAGGCAAAGCTTCCTCTCTGTAATTTTTGTAATTTGTGGCTACTTGGTTATACACTTTTGCTTCTCTATTAATTCTACAGTACCATTTTTTATCTTTGCAGAAAGTTTGTGGAAATCTGCTTTCTTTGTATTGAATTCCCTATTTTATATATATATGCACTGCAATTTTATGAACTGGATTTCTTATTTTTCAAATATTAGTAATGCTAATTATGGGTGTAAATGAGCCGAGCCGAGCCGAGTTTTTGGCTTATCGAGCTCGGCTCGTTTACAACAGTGTCAAACTCGAGCCTGGCGAGTCTCAAAATTGAGACTCGAGCTCGATAAGGCTCGTGAGCCCTTATGTTTTACTAGAAAGCACATACCCAATTTTACTAAAACTCAGTTGAGAGAAAAAAATTGAAGACCAACTTAACTCAAGACAAAACAAAAGACAAATAACTGCTATAATCCAATTAAAAATTCTCAGATTCCACCCCAATTTAAAAATCCCACACAAATTTCATCAAACAAAACTCATAAAATAAAAGAATCAATCTTCCATCTTCCTTGCAGAAACCAAAGTTCAAATATCACCTGCACATCGAGAAAAGTCAACACATCAATTATGACAAAAAGAAAACCTTAAATTCGTATTTATTATCATCGAAAAAACCAAAACAAAGAAAAATTAGTCTAAAAAGTCCAAGCGCAAATTGAACAAGCCGAAAATAGTAAGTAGTCAAAGAAGAAGACAACAATCGAAAATTTGATAAGCAGCGAACGAAGAAAAGAGAATCCACTTAGAGTCGAATCGATGCGAACTTACCGAGGCGGAGAAATTATTAAACCAAAACCCTAAAAGACTAACAAAGACGAAACGAATAGAAAGTGAGAGAAGATATAAGGAACTCGTGTTATTTCAAATTTGCAGTTTGGGGGGGAAACTATCATTTTTTAAACCTTTTTCATTGGAAAATGTTAGTTTAATACCTAATAGTTTAAAAAATTACCAAAACACCCTGTGAAGTGTATAGTGCTTAATCGAGCCGAGCCAAGCTCGCGAGCCCACGAGCCGAGCTTCACTGTGTTCGAACTCGACTCGGTTAACGAACCGAGTTCGAGTCGAGTCGAACCGAGCCTTATCGAGCCGAGCTCTAATCGAGCTTTTACCGAGGCTCGCGAGCCGGCTCGGCTCGTTTACAGTCCTAATGCTAATACTTAATTTTATTTGGGTTTAAATTGACAAAACTTAAATATAAATGTCAGTGTAGGGTTGCAACAACTATAAGGACAGAGTGGTGATTCTGAAAGTTTTAAATTTTAAAAAATCCAATGGTAACTTAATTCATTTAAAAATTATTTTTAATAAAAAATTGGAAGGACAAATTGGTAATTTATGTTGCTATATATAATTGACAGTGTGTCAATTATTTATATTTAAAGAGTGGGTATATTGGTAATTAACCCAATTGATATGACAAATTGATAAAAATTATAAAATCAAATATTTAAGGGTATTTTTATCTTTTAAATCAAATATTAACAGAAAACCCTAACAGAACCTGACGAAGGTTGGGAAAGTGTCATTTTGAAACTTAATGGATGGGAAAGTGTCATTTCGTTAAACCTTGAGTGGGAAAATGTCGTTCTCCCTTTCATTAATGATTTTAACTTTTAAGCCCAGAACTTAAGCCAACCCTCTCTCCCTCAGATTCCCGAACAGCCATACTACTTCAGATTTCAGCTGTAATCCTACTGCACCACTGCCTCTAATTACAGGACGTCAAAACACAAATTTCTTTTATTTTGAGTTGTTTACTAGGGGCTTTAATCTCAGACTGCTATCTGGCCAACTGAATTATCAACCCCATAGCATAAAACCAGAAAAGTATAGCAAAATAATTATAGGCAACTTTCTATGAAAATTACAACTGAATCCACAAAAAGCAAAGCATTTAACATTAAACAATGACAACATTATTTTATTAACTGAGGAAACTAATTTCTACTTCTACATTCTACCGTCAGTTTCCAGTTCCACAGTCATTCAATCCGACTGGTAGAATAATCACTCACACCCACAGACGATAAATTTTGAAGTTGATAATACTTCAGTAGAGTACCACTTCCAACCACAGAAAATATGAACTAATTCTTAATGACAGGCCACAACAACAGTAAGCAGAACACGCTCTACTCTAATCAGCTCTTGACTGACCAGCTCGGGAAGAGAGAATGATGCCAACAATGAGACCATACAAGGCCAGAGCTTCAGCGAAAATGAGAATGAGAATCATCCCTACGAAAAGCTTTGGCTGTTGTGCATTGGCTCTGCACATTACAAGTTGAAGTTATGATAAATCTTCAGTTAAAAGTTATAAGCCGACCAACTCCCAAGAAAAACAGAAGCAAATGGCCATAAAAATAAAGATAATGAAACATTTAAGACAAAATTAGAAAACAGCATAATACAATAAAAAATATAAAAAAACATATAGCATAGAGCATCCGGATCATAATGAGATAATTCCAAACAGAAAGTCACTGACTTCACAAAGGAAGTGAAACATGGCACATATTTAATCAATATATTGTATCCAATCAAAGTTACACTGCTACAAAATATCAATCATTCTATACTGTAAGCAAGACAAATTAAAGCAATTTACCAACTTAATTTTTCAGGTAGACGACTGAGATAGGAAAGAAAGATTATACCTAACACCAGCATCACCGACGATTCCGATCGCCATACCCGCAGAGAGACCAGCGAGGCCACAAGCGAGACCGGAAGAAAGATGGGCATAGCCATCAAAGAGGTAATAAGATTTAGCCTTAGGGTTAATCCCAGTACTAATAATAACAGCAATAATCAAACCGTAAATACCCAACACTCCAGCCATGACCACCGGCACAATAGACTTCATCACCAATTCTGGCCTCATCACTCCCATCGACGCCACACCTACCCCACTTTTCGCTGTTCCATATGCAGCTCCCATACCTGCGATACACCCAATCAAAACCCCAGATCAAAAAGCTAAATCGACCCATTAAAAAACTGGATTAATTAGATATGTGTTTGGTTCTTACAGGAGAAGACGAGGGCAGCAGCAGCGCCGAGGAAGCCGAAGAAAGGAGCGGTTTCATCGCCACTGAATGTTGAAGACATGTTGATTTGATTTGATGATTTGCAGAGAGATGGATCGGATCTGAGAATGTTTTGGTCTTGAGTCCCTCTGCAGAGAATGTCTTCGAATTGAAATCTTTTATTCGCTTATTAAAAAGAATTAAAAAAACAAAAACAAAAATGAATATTAGATAAAAGAATAATGCGATGGGCTTTTTGGCAGCCAATTAAATGGGCCTTTTTATTTAACGGTGGATAATCAACGACCCAATCCCATTTGAAATTCGGTTTCGACCATTTAATCTTTGTTTAGACCCCATATAAGGAAAAAACACGACTACATTGAGAAAAAAAAAAAAAAATGATTGTGAGTAAATTTTTAGTTTCAAGTCATATCTGAATCATTTTATTTGTTTTTGAAAACATAATTTACTGAGAATTTGGAAATTATTTCGAGACATTGTAGCTGTTTTTGTCAAAAAAAAGAAAAAGAAGGCATACGCCAGGAGATCTAAAAATTCAATTTTTAAAAAGATTAGATTTTATCTTACAAAACAATACGCACACCAATTTGGATAGCATGAACACCCACAACTTTACTCTTCCATGTTTTGTTTATTTGAAGCCACAAAGTTCAAAGAGATAATCATCATTTTCAACTTTCAGTGGCAATAACGAGAGTCCGAAGAGCAATACAGATGAAGATGACGACTATATGATAATATTTTGCTCTACAATATACCAATAAAAATACTGGTTTCATTAAAATAACCAGCAAAATAAAATGCACCTTAAAGTCCAGATCATTGGTCAGTTTGAAGTTTGAACTGCATCCAATTTACAAATCTACAAAATTACCTGATCAATAAGACCCTAAAATCCTCGACGTTCAGTAAAGAGGCTACGCACCTTCTCCCAAATTGCACAGACAACTCTACTTTTTTCTCCCATTCAATGGGATCAGCCTCTGCCTTATTTTAGGACCCAGATTTCTTTCCTAACTTCGATTTCCAAATCATAATCACATGCTATCCACAGGATATTCTCCATTCTAAAGGCAAGAATAAAAGCCAGTTTCTAATAACCCTGCAAAATGATTAGGTAAAGAACTTTGCTTCAATGACCTCACAGCAGGCATAACTGATAAAAAGAAACAAAGGACATACCTCACAAGAGCCAGAGAACCACAGTACTTTTCCAGACCTAGCAGCAAACAAACACACTGGTTAATGGCTGAAACAGAACGGCAAGAGATTCCACTGATTTCAAGAATCAATTCAATCTGAAGGAGTTGTCAAGACTTGATATGCTAATTCGATACAAAGTCAAACCATCAAATCCATGAACAATAACAATCTTTAATTAGAGTCAACTGTCATACGTCCAATATACGATAAACTTGGATAGTTAATCAAATAAAACAGAGATGTAAACAACAGAGGTTAAGCTCCATATAACATTGATGAAGTATATCCGACTGCACCACCAACAGAAAGGGAGTCAGAGCATGAAAACTACGACAATTTTGGAGAAAGAGAGATTAGTAATTGATGTTCCCTTAAAAAATCATGACAATATTGAGTAGTTCTGAAAAGAAAATAGAAAAATACTCAGTATGCTAGTCAATACTAAAACATTTCTAAACTGTACAATGAAAACATGAAAAAAAAAAAAAAAAGTCAAGAACAAGTCATGTCTCATCTAAGGTTGTCCCCAAATAAAAGATTAGGGTATTGATCCTCTCCACCCTTCGGATTCCAACCTTCATCTACAATGAATCAATTGCTAGAGGCAATCTGAACTCATCTTCAAAACATGTTGATGTCTGCCAAAAATGAGCTAATACACTTATGCCAAGCCCATTTTCAGTACAGAAGGCCACAGCCATATTCAGAAATGGTATCCTGGCTAACTTTACATTACCAATTCTGAACACATCAGACTAGAGCAATTTCCATCAAGATTCACCAATTATGATTGAACGGGAAGCAAAAAGCCATCTCCTTTCTTCCATGACATCTTCGGGACTTTATAAGCATGTTGGTAGTTTGATGTAAGCGTGTAGACAAGAAAAGCCCAATCAAGAACTCTACCCCCACACCACCATCATCTGTTGTGGGTCTTGCACAGACGCAGAGGAAAAAAAATGTGCCAGCCAATCCACAATAACATCATGACTTAACAGTTGGCTTCATTGCCATATGCCTCTCAATCAATTTGTCCACAAAGGAACGAATCTGCATAAAGGCGTCCAAGGAATAAAAGTTTAATCAAGTAAACAAATTTACAGAATAAGGTATATTTTTTCTCAAAGGAATGTCTAGAGGCTACAACAAATTAATAGCAACGAGGATAGTTTGCTTGACAAATTAAAACAATGAAGAGGATGTATATCTATTTGCTCTTCATGCTGAAAGGAAACGATCAAATGAAATAAGAAACAATAATCCTTCCCATTTGTTAGAGAAAGCAGAAAAAAGAAAAGGAACAATACAGGACACTTGAGATGACTAAAGATACAAATTTCCATCAAAAAGGTTATATGCAAGCCAACCCAACAACAGCAACATTTCATTGACCTAGAAGGATCTCCGTTTTGATAAAATTTAAAAAACAAATGTATCACATCATATATGAGTAAGAAGATCTAATGTCAATACCATACAAAAAGAGTGCTTACCTTATTCTTGCGCTTGAAATCAAGAAACTCAGAAACAGCCATGTTTTTCTCAGCATCTGTGGCCTGCTCCATCACCTGATTGCAAAACAAAAAAATAAAGGATGAGAAAGGGGAAACCAGCAGGCACCAGTTAATCTATTTGACCCAATTACAATATTAAATGATCCAACAACATAAACTTGAGATATAACAGGAAGAAGAGAGCGGAAGAATAAGGAAAACAACAGACCTTTGTTGCACTTTTTTTCATTATTGTCTTATATCCATCCCTATCAATTTTCCTTGCCTTATAAAGGGGCATGAGCAATGATGCAACGTAATCCACGACTGCCTGTTTAATACGATCTGCCCCTCGAGAACGGTTTTCAAGTGACTCATTATTTATTGTAACTTGTGAAACAGAGCTCTCATTTGCTCGTCTATCATGCTTCCAGGTGCGTGGTTTAGAACTTGTGTTTGAATCTTCCTCATCCTTTATATGCATGGCTGGATGGAAGAAATCAGAATCAGCTGCAGCTGCTTGAGACTGCCACCTCTCAATTGCATGATAGTCTTTTATCCCCACGCTACCAGCAGTATCAACCCATGCTTTTGTGAAAATACTGCTGTCTGCAGCAGCAGCAGCACTTTCTCCAGAGTGCTCACCTAAGTTCAACTGACATGCAATCTCATTAGAATGGCTCCGCTGTGAGAGGTTATCAGCAGTTCTTGAATTGTCAAGATTAACACAAGCAGCAGAGAAATCAAGAGACCAATCCCTCACTCTGCAGTTCCTGGAATCTATCTCCGATATACAATCCTGTCTTCCTAAAACACCACCAGACCACTTCCTTCTAAGATCAAATTCATCCATTTGCCCGTATTGCTCCCGTCTGGCAAATTTGTGAAAGGAAGGTATCTTGGGAAGCTGTGGCCCCGAGGATGCAAATGTCTGGAAATTATAAACCATTAATCATAAATATATGAACAAGAAAAGAAAAGAAAAGAAAAGGGTGGGAAAATAAAACAAAGGGAAAAAAAGATATTTTCTGGATAGTTTGGGTTCATAAATGCGCTCTCAAGCCCCCTTATCCCACTTTCAAGGTAATAAAGAACATCACCAATGGTATCATCACTAAGACAGTGCATGAGTTAATGGCATCAACATAATAATAAATGAAAGGGCCCCAGCCTGCTGAATTATTCTATACAGGAAAGCCAATCACATTAATTATCTTAAAGAGAACATAAGAATGACCGGATAGTTCAAATAGAACTACAATTGCACATAGCAATTCAAATATGAATCACTATTGAAAAACAGCATCAATATCTTGAAAACAAAATTTTGTATAAACCAAGCCAAAACAATTGCATAAACATATTAAAGACACATATAAATCCAGTACCTTGGACTAAAGCCTGAACAAACATTTGAATACATGGTATTAAAATAAATGATTGATAGAGGCACTTCATGAATTGATTAGTGCACATGAGTAGCATAACAAGAGAAACAAACCTTAGCAGTTGCTTCGGCTGCAGCTCGAGCAGCTGCTTCTGCTGCTGCTCGAGCAGCTTCAGCAGCAGCAAAGGCAGCCTGTTCTTCTTCAGACATGGCAAAATTTCTGTCTTCCACTTCAGTATCTAGTCTGCCATTCTCTCTCCTCATGTTTGCACTAGAAATCAAATGGCTTCCAGCAGATCCTTTATTCTCCAAACCACTGTGATGTGAGTGTAGAGGTGGCTTGCCTGAAGCTGGATCTTTAAGAGATTTTCTCTTCGACGAATCTACTACATTTGATTGCCTGGAAAACTTTAGTCCACCACCAGAAGTTTTTCCTTTTCGGAAGACTTCAAGCCACACATTAACCAATTGACTAGCTATGGCACGTATATCGCGGCTAGTATGTACACAAACTTTTTCTTTGACAGTTTTCCCAATGCCTACACCACGAAGAAAAAAACTAAATTGAATATCATGATTAAACACATATTAACTCTTTGCTTCCAAAGAAAAACACCTGGCAGACAAACAAGAAACACAGAACAAAGAGAAATATTTACATGCAACACAAAATACATAAAATCATACATATCTACAGATACTATCTGCAAAGTATATATCAAACTTTCAAAATACACCTTTTGTGCTGAAATTTTATACAATTTACCTCAGCCCACTGGTTCAACAAGTTCAGCATAGTCTAACAATTCTAAGGAGACTCAATTGAATTAGACAATCTACTTTTCACTTTTACTCCTAAACTTGCGAAAAAAAATGTCCTAGAGAACTTTGGAATAGCTCTCCCTAAGATTTGCTCCAAATCATACAAAGAGCAACAATCTTCTAAATGAGTCTTCACTCCTCAGTTTTGAAGACAGACACAATCTATCTGCATGCATGTTTACTTGCAGAGATAAATACATGATGTATGCATATACACTAGACCTAAACAAAAATGAAGAAAACATTACCTGACAGACGCACGGCAAGTAGATCGGTAGAAACACGTACAAGAAGACGAACACAATGACGTAAAAGCTGAGTCCCATCCTTCCCCATTGAATCCTGTAATAATGAAAAGTTTATATACACTTAAAAAAGTTTCAATCAAGAACAGAAGAACAAGTGCATTCATTAACCAAATTCATAGAGTTTGGAGCATTGATGTAATAATATTCTGAAAGCAAGAATACCAATATCCAAGAGTTGAGCATGGTCAGCCCTTCCTTGGTCCCAGCAAATGACTTCAAGGTTGAAACAGGAAGGTTCAGCAACTCTTTCGCTAAATGTAACCGTCCTGCAGTGGTTTTTGCATTAAAGAACATATCCTGCAGCAAAGATTCCCTGGTCAATATAAGGGCCCGATCCAAAGAGTTCTTGTACAAGACATTGGAGAGTTCAACAGCTTCAAGTCTCCTTGCTATGTCCAAAACTTCATCCCCTTCAGACTCTAATTGTCTCTGGGCAGCCTCTATTGCCTCTACTTCAGCAGTATAATCATTACCAGTGGTCAATATGTCAATTATACGCACAGCCTCTCGAAGCCCACTCAACATTGCACCACCAACAGTGTCAGGATGTTCCTTGCAGGTAGCCTCACCAGCAAAAAATAAACAGTTCTCAACAGGTCTGCCCAATATATCATAGTCTTCTCCAGATGCTCCTATAGCTACATATGAGTAAGCACCATAGCTGAAAGGATCTCTGCCCCAATCAGTCACAACTGATGCAACTGGATTTGGTACTGAAGCCTCCCCAAAAATTTTACGGAGAGCCTGGACTGCATGGTTTACATGGTCAGACGAGCTCATATTTTGACCATCAATAGCTGCCTTACCAACCACTAAAGCTATAAGAACAGGAGCACCAACTGTTTTTCTGACATTCCAAAACATAAAGCACTGCCCCCTCAAATCGGTTTCTTCGGCAGTTGCTCCAAAGTAGTCCACAGTGTCATCCCAAAAGACCTCTGAAAATTCCAATACTACTTTATTAAGAACTCCAAAACCAAGCCGCTGGATGGCCAAGGACTTCCATTGGGGTAACGGGGGAAAAAACTTTACACTTTCTGCTTTCAAGCACCCAAGAGGCACAGTAATAAGCACAGCGTCTCCTGAGAATTCACTGCCATTTGATGTGGCAACTTTGACTTTGGACTGACTATAATTTACTTCAGAGTCCTTTGAACTATATGAGATATCTGTGACTACATGGTTGAAATGTATGAGAAGTTCTTCTGCAAGAGACTCAACAACAGCACTGTAACCACCTTTAATCATGCAATGGGCTCCTCCAAATCCTCCATAAACATCATCTTGATTCCAGAAAGGAAGAGATACTTCCTTGAGCAAAGCAGCACAACCATATTCTAAGTTGGCAAAGTGCCAATCCATAACCCTTCTTTCAAGAGGACTCAGTATCTCTTCTTCAGAACAATTTCTACCAGGAACTCTGCTGTCAACACTGCTGGTTTTAGAGTAAGCATCCATCGAACTTTGCAGATAAACTTCTTCAAAATCTCTTCCTAATCGTGCCATTCGGCGCCTCTTAAGAGCATACTCCAAACCCTCCTCAAGAGACATTTTCATAGCATGTTCCCCCTTCTGGGCAACAAGCAATACCATGTCATCAAGAAGGCTGTTGTACTCTGCTTCCAGAGATTCATCCAGATCTGCAGGAACCTTTTGACCAGAAACAATATCATAAAGGGGGCAATCACTATTCAACACAGTCAACTCTAGGCCCAGCTGAGCACAAATCAATGAGGAAGGATCAGGTCTTCTTTCAGTGGCCACATCAGCCTCAACACCTGTAATTATGCTAGCCCCAAGATCCACAGGAACTGAGAGAGACGTGCGATCTGTATAAACACGACCACCGATCCTATGCCGAGCCTCAAGTATAATTACAGAAAAACCCTGACGTTTCAAGTGGCGAGCAGCGGTTAAACCAGCAGGACCTGCCCCAATGATAATGATTTTCTTCCTGATTTCTGAATCACAGTGCACATGTTGGTTCCCCCAAGCATCATCATGAGAAGCAGATTGAACACTGTGTGAGTCATTCGTCGCTTCAATTACAATTGGAACTTCTCCACCATCAACCATTTTGCAAGATGGATCAGCCCTCAAAACATCCACATTTACCAATCTGTCAGGTGAATCAGTGCCACCATTTTGCAGGCAATCATCAGCTGGGCATAGTTTGTGTTCTGTCACATTAGGTAATTCTGGGATAACCGAACAGCCTTTTTTCGCTTCTAATATCTGGTTCCCATCATTAGATATAACAACATTTTTGGCCTCCACAGAAGTTTCAGAACTCTTAACCTGACCAAGGATGAAAGCAACTCCATCCTCTGAATCAGCAACTGAATCCCCAGAACTTCCCTCGAGTTTTTCTTCTTTGAAAAGTTTATAACTATGCTTTGCTACATGATTTGCTTTCTCCTTCTTAGAAGCAATACCAACATTTATGTACCCCTGTCAAAAGGGTTGTCTATCTCCGATATACAATCCTGTCTTCCTAAAACACCACCAGACCACTTCCTTCTAAGATCAAATTCATCCATTTGCCCGTATTGCTCCCGCCTGGCAAATTTGTGAAAGGAAGGTATCTTGGGAAGCTGTGGCCCCGAGGATGCAAATGTCTGGAAATTATAAACCATTAATCATAAATATATGAACAAGAAAAGAAAAGAAAAGAAAAGGGTGGGAAAATAAAACAAAGGGAAAAAAAGATATTTTCTGGATAGTTTGGGTTCATAAATGTGCTCTCAAGCCCCCTTATGCCACTTTCAAGGTAATAAAGAACATCACCAATGGTATCATCACTACGACAGTGCATGAGTTAATGGCCTCAACATAATAATAAATGAAAGGGCCCCAGCCTGCTGAATTATTCTATACAGGAAAGCCAATCACATTAATTATCTTAAAGAGAACATAAGAATGACCGGATAGTTCAAATAGAACTACAATTGCACATAGCAATTCAAATATGAATCACTATTGAAAAACAGCATCAATATCTTGAAAACAAAATTTTGTATAAACCAAGCCAAAACAATTGCATAAACATATTAAAGACACATATAAATCCAGTACCTTGGACTAAAGCCTGAACAAACATTTGAATACATGGTATTAAAATAAATGATTGATAGAGGCACTTCATGAATTGATTAGTGCACATGAGTAGCATAACAAGAGAAACAAACCTTAGCAGTTGCTTCGGCTGCAGCTCGAGCAGCTGCTTCTGCTGCTGCTCGAGCAGCTTCAGCAGCAGCAAAGGCAGCCTGTTCTTCTTCAGACATGGCAAAATTTCTGTCTTCCACTTCAGTATCTAGTCTGCCATTCTCTCTCCTCATGTTTGCACTAGAAATCAAATGGCTTCCAGCAGATCCTTTATTCTCCAAACCACTGTGATGTGAGTGTAGAGGTGGCTTGCCTGAAGCTGGATCTTTAAGAGATTTTCTCTTCGACGAATCTACTACATTTGATTGCCTGGAAAACTTTAGTCCACCACCAGAAGTTTTTCCTTTTCGGAAGACTTCAAGCCACACATTAACCAATTGACTAGCTATGGCACGTATATCGCGGCTAGTATGTACACAAACTTTTTCTTTGACAGTTTTCCCAATGCCTACACCACGAAGAAAAAAACTAAATTGAATATCATGATTAAACACATATTAACTCTTTGCTTCCAAAGAAAAACACCTGGCAGACAAACAAGAAACACAGAACAAAGAGAAATATTTACATGCAACACAAAATACATAAAATCATACATATCTACAGATACTATCTGCAAAGTATATATCAAACTTTCAAAATACACCTTTTGTGCTGAAATTTTATACAATTTACCTCAGCCCACTGGTTCAACAAGTTCAGCATAGTCTAACAATTCTAAGGAGACTCAATTGAATTAGACAATCTACTTTTCACTTTTACTCCTAAACTTGCGAAAAAAAATGTCCTAGAGAACTTTGGAATAGCTCTCCCTAAGATTTGCTCCAAATCATACAAAGAGCAACAATCTTCTAAATGAGTCTTCACTCCTCAGTTTTGAAGACAGACACAATCTATCTGCATGCATGTTTCCTTACAGAGATAAATACATGATGTATGCATATACACTAGACCTAAACAAAAATGAAGAAAACATTACCTGACAGACGCACAGCAAGTAGATCAGTAGAAACACGCACAAGAAGACGAACACAATGACGTAAAAGCTGAGTCCCATCCTTCCCCATTGAATCCTGTAATAATGAAAAGTTTATATACACTTAAAAAAGTTTCAATCAAGAACAGAAGAACAAGTGCATTCATTAACCAAATTCATAGAGTTTGGAGCATTGATGTAATAATATTCTGAAAGCAAGAATACCAATATCCAAGAGTTGAGCATGGTCAGCCCTTCCTTGGTCCCAGCAAATGACTTCAAGGTTGAAACAGGAAGGTTCAGCAACTCTTTCGCTAAATGTAACCGTCCTGCAGTGGTTTTTGCATTAAAGAACATATCCTGCAGCAAAGATTCCCTGGTCAATATAAGGGCCCGATCCAAAGAGTTCTTGTACAAGACATTGGAGAGTTCAACAGCTTCAAGTCTCCTTGCTATGTCCACAACTTCATCCCCTTCAGACTCTAATTGTCTCTGGGCAGCCTCTATTGCCTCTACTTCAGCAGTATAATCATTACCAGTGGTCAATATGTCAATTATACGCACAGCCTCTCGAAGCCCACTCAACATTGCACCACCAACAGTGTCAGGATGTTCCTTGCAGGTAGCCTCACCAGCAAAAAATAAACAGTTCTCAACAGGTCTGCCCAATATATCATAGTCTTCTCCAGATGCTCCTAAAGCTACATATGAGTAAGCACCATAGCTGAAAGGATCTCTGCCCCAATCAGTCACAACTGATGCAACTGGATTTGGTACTGAAGCCTCCCCAAAAATTTTACGGAGAGCCTGGACTGCATGGTTTACATGGTCAGACGAGCTCATATTTTGACCATCAATAGCTGCCTTACCAACCACTAAAGCTATAAGAACAGGAGCACCAACTGTTTTTCTGACATTCCAAAACATAAAGCACTGCCCCCTCAAATCGGTTTCTTCGGCAGTTGCTCCAAAGTAGTCCACAGTGTCATCCCAAAAGACCTCTGAAAATTCCAATACTACTTTATTAAGAACTCCAAAACCAAGCCGCTGGATGGCCAAGGACTTCCATTGGGGTAACGGGGGAAAAAACTTTACACTTTCTGCTTTCAAGCACCCAAGAGGCACAGTAATAAGCACAGCGTCTCCTGAGAATTCACTGCCATTTGATGTGGCAACTTTGACTTTGGACTGACTATAATTTACTTCAGAGTCCTTTGAACTATATGAGATATCTGTGACTACATGGTTGAAATGTATGAGAAGTTCTTCTGCAAGAGACTCAACAACAGCACTGTAACCACCTTTAATCATGCAATGGGCTCCTCCAAATCCTCCATAAACATCATCTTGATTCCAGAAAGGAAGAGATACTTCCTTGAGCAAAGCAGCACAACCATATTCTAAGTTGGCAAAGTGCCAATCCATAACCCTTCTTTCAAGAGGACTCAGTATCTCTTCTTCAGAACAATTTCTACCAGGAACTCTACTGTCAACACTGCTGGTTTTAGAATAAGCATCCATCGAACTTTGCAGATAAACTTCTTCAAAATCTCTTCCTAATCGTGCCATTCGGCGCCTCTTAAGAGCATACTCCAAACCCTCCTCAAGAGACATTTTCATAGCATGTTCCCCCTTCTGGGCAACAAGCAATACCATGTCATCAAGAAGGCTGTTGTACTCTGCTTCCAGAGATTCATCCAGATCTGCAGGAACCTTTTGACCAGAAACAATATCATAAAGGGGGCAATCACTATTCAACACAGTCAACTCTAGGCCCAGCTGAGCACAAATCAATGAGGAAGGATCAGGTCTTCTTTCAGTGGCCACATCAGCCTCAACACCTGTAATTATGCTAGCCCCAAGATCCACAGGAACTGAGAGAGACGTGCGATCCGTATAAACACGACCACCGATCCTATTCCGAGCCTCAAGTATAATTACAGAAAAACCCTGACGTTTCAAGTGGCGAGCAGCGGTTAAACCAGCAGGACCTGCCCCAATGATAATGATTTTCTTCCTGATTTCTGAATCACAGTGCACATGTTGGTTCCCCCAAACATCATCATGAGAAGCAGATTGAACACTGTGTGAGTCATTCGTCACTTCAATTACAATCGGAACTTCTCCACCATCAACCATTTTGCAAGATGGATCAGCCCTCAAAATATCCACATTTACCAATCTATCAGGTGAATCAGTGCCACCATTTTGCAAGCAATCATCAGCTGGGCATGGTTTGTGTTCTGTCACATTAGGTAATTCTGGGATAACCGAACAGCCTTTTTTCGCTTCTAATATCTGGTTCCCATCATTAGATATAACAACATTTTTGGCCTCCACAGAAGTTTCAGAACTCTTAACCTGACCAAGGATGAAAGCAACTCCATCCTCTGAATCAGCAACCGAATCCCCAGAACTTCCCTCGAGTTTTTCTTCTTTGAAAAGTTTATAACTATGCTTTGCTACATGATTTGCTTTCTCCTTCTTAGAAGCAATACCAACATTTATGTACCCCTGTCAAAATGTAAAAAAAAAAAAAAAATGCATTTTAAGGGATAAGGAATTCATCAACCCTCCAAAGCACAAAAATTTGCAAAATTGCATCAAAACCTATCTAAAGAGCCGACGAGCATAAAAAAGAAACAAGTAGGCACATCAATTTTGATCAATAAACAAGGGAGCAGAAAAGAAAAAAAATTGACACAAAAAAAAAAAAAAACACACATTAGACATCACGACTTACACTCTGATCAAGAAATGTATAGATCTGCCTAATTAAAGAAGCACGTGGCGGCTCATCCTCAGAAGGAGTATCAGTGACCCCACACTCCGTGAGTGGCAAAATTCTGCTAACATCTCTACTCCAAAGACTTAAGATCTGGTTCCTGCAATACATAAAGCAATTAAATTCCATTTCATTGTAATGGTAATATCTATTAAAGTAAACAAATCTTTTACCCCAAATGATATGATGAGTTCAATTTTATTTTAAAATACAAATTGAATCTGCAGTATGCCCAAAAAAGAAAAAATCCAATCAAATGAATAACCAGGTTTCGATGAATAACTACCTGCATTCTAAGTATTCCTGAAGCCCACCTCTGCGCTTCAAGACCTCTTTAAATTTAATTTTCTCGATCGGACCAGCTGCACGAGCTTTCAGCCCTGCTGACACCACTGCAGTCCCACCATTTTCAGCATCAGTAAGAGTATTTGAAGAGGAATAAAACTTGTCTCTTCCTCTTAAAGACCGATCATAGTCTACAACCTGGTGACTTTCAAGAAAACCTTGCTCAGTTATCAAATTCTCCCAGTCAGCATCCCCTTCATAAGCCATGTCTCCATGCCTGCGCTTTTTAGCAATGCGCGCAGCACGTTGAACAGCTGATAACTTATTACCTTTATTTTCAGAATCAGGCATAGAGACTGCATCTTCTGGAGAACTTCCATTTTCATCTGGAGTCATGGAAGAAGAAGAATCTCTATTAGCCTCTTCACCAATAGAGAGAGGCTCATGACCTGGAACACAAGTTCCCTTCGATGCATCAGAAGGTTGATCTTGATGGAAACCAGAGCTACACTTCTGAAAAGTAAATCCAGATTCCCGATGTCCACAAAACATTTCAGTTGTTGGAGATAACCTACCATTAGATACTACAGCAGTTTCCTCTTTTGAAAAAGTGGAAGCAAAACCTCTCTCCTCATTACAGGTATTGGGATCACTAAAAGTTTTGCTCACCTTCAAGGAATTCAAGGAAGGATCAGAAAGAAGAGGTGGAATTTGCTGAAAACCTTCTGCATATTGATCTGATTTTACAGTCCCTGAACAGTTCTGAGATAAAGATTTTGAGGAAACCTGCAGCATCTTTCCAGAAGCTGATTTCTGAATCTCTTTGGATTTAGTTTTACAGGATTTGTTTCTTAACTCATCATTTACACAAGCCACTGAAACTTCTTTTCCAATTAAAGAAGAGGAAACTTCATGGTCTGAACTCGAATTGTCTATTGCTGAAGCATTCCTTGAATGTTGCCTCAATGCATGAGAAAAACCTCGGTTACACTCACCCTCATACTTGTAAAATTCTCCCTTCTGCTCTGGGGAAGAGGCAGAAATGGGCATTTCTTGGTCATCAGGGACCAAAGCGCTTGCCTTATCCATAGAACAAAGCTTTAACCCGACCTCCATAGATTGAGTTTCTGAACTAGCCTTTTGGCTAGAGCCAGAACCATCATCCACGCAGGCACAAGCATTCATGTTGCCATTGATACCATAAACTTCATTTGAGGTACAAGTATCCAGAATAGGTTCCTCTTGAACATTCAAACCGCTATTGTCTACCAAAGGTTCAATTTTCTTATACTGACTGGAGGTTAATTCCGATTTACTCAAATCAGAAACCAGATGTGAACTATCATTGAACTTTGAATTTTTCTGCCTTACTTTTGTAGCTGAAGCAGACTGAGGTCTCCTTACAGACTTTAAATCACCTTCAGAGCTAGGGCTATATCCTTCATCAAAGCTTCGATCCCTACCATTCTGTTTCAAACCAGAATTCACATGAGATTTCCTGATTGATCCAGATTGTGTCCTCTGAAAGAAAGCAGAAAATGAGTCATCCGTCTTTTCATCCAAAGACAGATTGGAACCCTCCCCAGGCCATATCTCTTCCTCTTTCTGATCCTCCAATGAATCACCCAGAGGCTCCATACCCTTCAAATCATCATCACTCGCAAAATGAGCCCCAACTGATTTTATCTTTGAATCAGTCTTCGGTCTCCTAAATCTCCCTTTACATTTACTTTCAACCCCTTTACCCATGGTCACATCAGATGCATCCTCACCAATCTCCTGAACTTTCTCCACATCCTTCAATGCCAACTTCTCATCCAACACGCCGACGTCCTCAAAAGACTCACTCAAAGATGAATTTCTTCCCTTTAGGATCCCAGATCCGGTATTTTTCTTAGGACCCTTCAATTTTTTCCTAAAACTTGCCAAGGTATCATCCATACCCCCCAAATCCTCATCTTCAACCACCAATTTCTCTTCCCTAATTTCTACCTTCTGCCCCTTTTCACTATCTGACGTAGCCTTAACCTTCTTAGGGTTTTTTGTTTTCTTCAACTTAAACAAAGACCCAATGGGCTCATCATCATCAGAATCAAAACCAATCTCAACAGGTTTGGACCTCTTCTTGGACTCGGACTTCTTCTCTTCACCATCCATTTTCTTAGCCCTAGGTTTTAATAAATTTTGTAATGAACTCTTTTGCGACCCTAGCTTAGCATTAGTGCTTGAATCAAATTGCAAGCCTTGAACCGCATCATCACTCTCCATTTCTCTATTACCAAAAAATTAAAGCTCATATTTCGTGTTTTGATTCCTTCTTCAACCAAATAAAGCCATAAAACTAAAAAATTTCTACAACCCCAAAATCTCAGCGCCAATTAAAAAGCGAATATAAACGCAAGCAAATTACTAGCAAAACAATGTTAGTAACACTCAATATTGTTTCTCTCAATCAGTCAGCTCTGGCGCAGATATCCACAATGCCTTTTTCTCTAAATTCGACAACAATAAAATGAAAACAAAATTAAATTAAAGAAGCTAGGGTTTTAAACAGAGCAACTGAGTCACGCAGCAAGGAAGGGAGTATGGGCAAGCAAACCTGAGTAAAAGAAGCAGTGATACGGGTGACGTTAATGGATTTGACGCGGAGAGTGAGATGCGCACGTTAGCGTATTGTCTCTGGAACTGGAGGTCGAGTTCTTTATACTGCGCCGCGACGAGGATAGTAAAACAAAAATAAAAATAAATTTTTTTAAAAATAAATTAGGAATATAAATAGAAAAATAACGGACGCATAAGCATAAATGAAAGGAATATAGGCGAAAGCTATAAAATTAGTACTAATTTTGACTTTTTGTAAAGTATATTCCACTGCTACTATAACGGAATTAATTTAGACCCCCTGGGGGCTCCCGCAGTTCGAAGATAAGAGTTCTTGGTAAAGCTTTCTGACTACCCATAATTTCAAAGACAAGACCGACTGATATAATTAACCTTATCATTTACTCACATGATTTGTGGTTATTATGTGAATTTCACACTGTCACAATTTTAGTAATACTTCCAATAATTATTATTCTCCACCAAAAATAATGTGCTCTTACAATAACAATTTACACCGATATGTAATTCAATTACAATAAAAGGAAACTGCATGCTCAATTGCTCGCTACAAGACTTCCAAATGTGAATTGAAGGGTTGGAGCCCACTTAGGAGGCCTGCGTCTCTTGGTAGCCCACTGAATAAAAATGTCCAAAGTATAAAACATAAAGATAGGAACAGGATAGGTAAACAAATGCAGCCTTATATTTAGTCCAAACACCCACTTTCTCTGTGAGTTACCCTACCCCATTTACAATTTAAATGAAAATAAAGCAGTAAAATTGAAGATGAAAAACTGAAGGCATGCAACCTTTCAAATAGAGATGGAAATGGAAAACCAACCTTCCCTTTACTTTTTTTAAGCATGAATGTATCATGTATGCAACAGTTGAACCATATCCAGAATACTGCACAACTTCCAAGACCATTCAGGCCAATACTGGCGTGGGTCTTCAAACAATAGGTTTAGGCCCAACGGCAGGAACCTTCGGCCAAACTGAGATACTTGAAGCCCACTCGATTAGACAAAGTCACCAGGCCTGCATATCAAATCAACCCAATTTTCATTTACTTCTCTTCCCAGTCGAAAACATAGATGGTTCGCAAATCAAGCCTTATCACTTATTCACTATCGAAATTTTAGTGACCAAAGGCTAATTGCTATATATTTCTCTCTCATTTAGTGGAAAATTGGGGAAAAAAAAAAAAACATAGGCAGTGAAGAGAAGAAATTCCAATTTACAGTATAATCAACCTTAATGAAGGATAACAAATTGTGATTTTATAGTGGATCACAAAATATTGTAAGAGCACACTGCATCTTAATATAGGAAAACATCAATTAATGTTAGAATTCAAGCCTAAAGAAGAGTCCAATCCAAAAGATCGACCTGATAATAATAGGTGAAAGAGTCCTTATGCTTGAGTATCATGATTGATGGGAGTGAGATCCCGACGTAAGATATTAACATTATTTGATTATGGATAGGAGGTATTTAACACCACATACGTGGACCATGGAAAATATAAGAGGCTAATATTTAGATAAGAGGTTTTTGGAAAGGCATGCCCCATCTTCCTTAGCCAAGCTATAGCTAACAAATTTCTTGTAGTCTGACGTAAAGAAGAAGACAAAGAATCCTAAAACAGCTAAGGAACTAGAGTTTCAACGAACAAAGTAGAAACCATTGCTTCAAAACTTTGAATTGAATTCAATCAAAAGTTTAGCTGGTTGAAGGATGGCGGCCCCTCTTTATTTTCCTTGACAAAACTGGCAAGATCTGGAAGTTCTTTTCATATGGATCCCCGATTCCTGTATATGAGATAGATATGAGTAACATCCATGAATTAAAGTCATATTGATGTCAGATATATCGACAATTAACAGCAAGCTGCTAGCTTAACAAGAAATATATATTTAAAATTAATGCTTTCAAACTTGCAGGAAGTTCTTCAAACACTCAATAATGAACACGGAATACACGTCCAGTGAATAGTGTTGAATCTCATTGAAAAAGTTTTGAATCCTGCTGTAGTTTTATTGCACTACTTCTCACTGATCTTCAGCGAAATTTGAGGTTCTGTTAAATTGGTCCCAACGCGTTTAATGTAAGCTGCATTTACATAATGATGTCTCATTAGAAAATATTTGTCTGGTTTGTTAAGAAACAGCCAATGTTCATTAAAGGTTTTCCATTTGTTTTTTCAAATCATATTGGTAAACAGCTGCATGGATCCATCCATCCATAAAGATCAGAGTGGCCGGGGCCGGGAATTAAAACGCAGTCTTCCATTTAATTGCATGTGCTCAAGATTCAAGAATATGGCGTGTTCATTTTAGTGACAATAACTGGAAAGCCACCTTTGTCTTTACGGGTCAGAGACTGCTTCCGAAAAGGAAAAAAAAAATAATAATTGAGAAACACCTTTCTCAAACTTCGATTTCAATGCTTTATTTTCTTCACATACAGCCTACACCAATTAAATATCAGATAGATGCATGTCACTAATCAATTCAAAATACGTAAGCTTATAAAAAATTAATTAATAAAATAGTTCTATCCTCTTTAGAATAACTTTTCAAATAACAAAAGGAATTTCTTTAAGAAAGCCACCACAAATGACCGATCAAAAAGAGCTTATTTATGTCACTAGTATTGCATAAACAATATAGTTCTTTCAGTCTACTGCTAGCTACCCTGAAAGTATCTATATAGACGGCCACAATTGATTTCTAAAGAGGAACTTCGAATAAACAAAGCTAATCAAGAATTATATACGAATTCATGAATGTAAGTCAAGAGAAAAGATAAAACGCCAATGGAATTAGTAAACTAGGTTATTAGTCTTATTAAGATGCTCTGATTGAAATGTTCCAACAACCTGATAATCTCTAATTATAATTCAAAGGGCAGCCATAGTTTTCTTTTTACAAGGGTAGCTAATAGTTGAACAAAAAATTTTCAATTAGAAAACAATGAATAATGTCTAATATATTTTGTATTTATCCATTTTGTCTAAACTCTTAAAATATTAGTGTAGCTTAGCTGTAAGAGAAATATCGTCAACGCTTTAATTCAAGGGATTAGGTTATAATATATAGAAAATGGAGTTTATCTAATTAATTAGTCGATTGAACGTTTGGAATCTAAGAAGAAGGGTCGTTATCGTGCTTGTGAATGACCAGGTTTTGCCAATCAAACATTTGTATTATTATTATTATAATCTTAACCTAATTGTTGGCTTCCCCATTATGCCACGGCATTGAAATTAAATATACATAATAAATATTCAAGACAAACTCTTGATAGAAAATTTAAAAAAAAAAAAAATTCAAAGACTGAAAGCAGCTTGGAGCATTCTTTTGTAGAAAAGTGGAGTTAATATGGTTAGTGAACTTCATTGCTGACTGCAAAAGGATTGAAAAAAGCTTTGGATTAATGGTTCTTCAAGAAGTTGTTAAATGGTTTAGTATAGATTATTGGTGATTGAATAAGGTAAGTTAACTACTCTAAAGAGTTTGACGGCTTACTTAGGATTCTTAGGTGTATTACTCAAGAGATTTTTAAATCGAATCTTTACGACTACTAAATAAATATAACCACTAGAGACTTACCTGACAGTTAACTTTAGGACCTCAAGTGACTAGTTGATGTGCGCGTAAGCTGATCCAGACACCCTCGCATACCAAAAAAAAAAAAAAGAATAAGGCAAGTCATCTCCATGAATGGAGCTTTAACAACTTTAACCGACATATAAATACAAATAAAATACACTTAATGTACGTGGTCCATTTGTAAAATCGTTTTCACCGACAAGGGGTGAAGGAGCTATATCAAAGAAGTTAGCTTGTCCTAAACGAAATTGAGCACTCCAAGTATTAACAATCACAGATGGATATTATTGATAAGTTTTTGTATCAGTCTAGAGGTCTTATTCAATATGTAAATTTAGTTGGTATCGCAATTTCAAAGTCTTTATCTTTAGTGAAAGAGAAATATATAAATAGTTTGCAGTCCCCACACACAAAAAAAAAAATATGTTTAATGAATATAATAAATGATATATCAAAGTGGTGAGACGTGAAGAAAACGTTATAAGATTTCAAATCAATCATGTAGTGAAATATCGTTTGTATTCAGGCATGGATAGAGCCCGACTTAAACCCGATTCGTATACAGAATGTTGTGAAGTCGTGTTAATTTCTTTCTTTCTTGCTAGTTAAATCTTCAATTTATGCTGCTTAATTAAATGTATCAAAGAAGCAATAATATATAACACAATTTTAATAATTTTATATGATATTATATCCTTCTGCATATAAAAATAATAACAATACAATATTATATATATATATATATATATCAATCATTTACATTATAAAACCATGTGTTGCTATTTGATTTGCACGTCTTTTGACAATTATTGATGATAAGAATATACACTTCACCTACTAAATCAAGGGATAATTAATATCTGAATGAAGTCGACCATATCCATAAACAAATAGATTGACGAATAATGATATTGCATCGCTAGTGCTAATTAAATTTTCATAGATTTCACCCTTTGAACACTTTAATGGAAGTATGTACAAATTAAAGAAGAGATACATATTTTAAATAGAAAGATGGTTGACAAATATCCTTGATGACCCTTCAACTTTTATTCTTTACAGTTTGTCATTACAAGACAACATAAGAGATTGAACCAGCCTTCGGTTAAGGAATATTTTTCCGATGGAAATGAGATCCCAATTTCTTCGTAGACACGTTTCGGTCCTAGTTACCCTATATATCAATACCTGAAGCATTCCTTCACATGTTTAAATTCATCAAAAAGAGTAATGTAATTAATTAAGCCTTAACTTAATAATTCCATGGAAAGTACACTGAATTCCTTCTGAACCACACATATTTTCGTCAAATCTTAGCTAGTGTATATATATGTATATGAAATCATTTTGGGTCATTTGACTCTTGGGTTGTTTGTTTTTGGTTCCAAAACTTTTCCATTTCTTAATCAACCTAAATATACACAAATTAAACTACTTTTCCGAGTTATTGAATTAAGGCATTTTTATTGCTTGCTTTTTGTAGATTTCACCAGTTCCAACGTAATTGACCCGCTTGCTGCTTGGGTGTCTGATGTAGACCCGGGTAAAAATAATTCTTGGATTCCTCCATTTTGGGCTAGGTTCGGCCTACACCATTAATGGCTATTTTTTTAAGTTAACAAGGAATCTACTTTCTAAGAACAAAAGCAAAATAGGTGACGGGAAATCATAAAAAAAAAAAAAATATATATATATATATATAATTAAATTAAATCAAACCAAACGAATGGGTTGGTTAAATTATAATTAAAAAGAATCTAAACATCATTAGAAATGACTAAAATGTGGCAAGTAATTCCAGAACTAAAAACAAAGAAAAAAACGACATTAAACATCAAAGGAACTAATCTAATCATATTAACGTTATTCTTTGCATATATAATAATATATTATATTTGTTTGAGCTGTCATTGAGAAATAAAAAATTAAACAGCCTTCAGTTCACCGACTAAACTAGAACAAAGAATCAAAAAGGTTAAAAGGTATTACAGATTACTATTCGAGATTGGCCGTGTATGCTCAAACCCACTTTCTTGCACGTGTTAACCAGCTTTAGTATTTCCACACATTCGCTTCTTTAAGCGCGTGGTCCCACTTCCTCCTCCTAAACTAATTTCATTTGCTAGCAATTAGCATTTAATGACACTAGCGACAAATTGCTTGTTACACTACCACCCCTGAGGTTTGACCCAAGACCGTTTTTCCCCTAATTTTTGAGAAACTAATCTTTCTATCCATCAATAGCGTTTTGGTTAAGTAAATGTGTTGTGCGGGGAATCAAGTGTAGATATCTGGCAATAGAGATTCCATAATTAATGTCGAAGATCACGTTATTTTGTTTTATCGAATTTGAGTTCATCTCCAATTCAAACCCAATTGTAATGTATTTCTAGAGAGAGAAATAATAGGTCACAAAAAGCTAATTGCAAACTCTTTGTAAATCAAAATGCTTGTTTTTAATAACATAATAGTAAACGTAAGATTTGCATTAAGCATCTGAACTTTGTGTTGTTATTTAATTCATTATTCGTTCATTGATCCAACATTAAGATCACAGGTTTTGCACAAACTTCTAAGTAGATTGCACCACAAATTCTACGTACTTCTCGTTGGTACAAATTTCAACATCAATATTTTGATGCTAGAAGAAGAACCTAGGCCACTTCCAAGCCCTTGCCCCTGGAGGCTGTGTTGGTGCCAAAGTCTCACATCGATTAAGAGATGAGGCCTTGTTCGCTTATATAGTACAAATGCACCCTCACCACTCAAAGACGCATTTTCAGGACAAAATCGTATGGGTTTTAACGCTCAAAGCGGACAATACTTTTAAGAACCCATGTCAAGATTCTATATATATCAAATAGCTCACTGACTTTTTTTTTTGGCGAAATTACAAGAAGTTTTGATAAAACCACTAAAAAATTTGAGTAAATTATCAGCAATTTTGATTGATTGATTGATTCATCGATTTGATACTTAACCGTTGTTGAATGTAAATATGAATGATTAATTGATTGACTAAAATTGTCAATTTTTACTTCTAAGTATTTGCTTTATCCTTTACGGTGTTACATTTAATTGAACTGGTAGAACTTTTAAAGAGATCAATATTAGTTTCTCATAATTAGAGGAAGAAGATAGTTTTTATACCTAATCGTGAGCGTGACGCTTTAATCAACTCGATGNAAAAATAATTCTTGGATTCCTCCATTTTGGGCTAGGTTCGGCCCACACCATTAATGGCTATTTTTTTAAGTTGACAAGGAATCTACTTTCTAAGAACAAAAGAAAAATAGGTGAAGGGAAATCATAAAAAAAAAAAAAATATATATATATATATATAATTAAATTAAATCAAACCAAACGAATGGGTTGGTTAAATTATAATTAAAAAGAATCCAAACATCATTAGAAATGAGTAAAATATGGCAAGTAATTCCAGAACTAAAAACAAAGAAAAAAACGACATGAAACATCAAAGGAACTAATCTAATCATATTAACGTTATTCTTTGCATATATAATAATATATTATATTTGTTTGAGCTGTCATTGAGAAATAAAAAATTAAACAGCCTTCAGTTCACCGACTAAACTAGAACAAAGAATCAAAAAGGTAAAAAGGCGTTACAGATTACTATTCGAGATTGGCCGTGTATGCTCAAACCCACTTTCTTGCACGTGTTAACCAGCTTTAGTATTTCCACACATTCGCTTCTTTAAGCGCGTGGTCCCACTTCCTCCTCCTAAACTAATTTTCATTTGCTAGCAATTAGTATTTAATGACACTAGCAACAAATTGCTTGTTACAGTACCACCCCCTAAGGATTGACCCAAAACCGTGTTTCCCCTAATTTTTTAGAAACTAATCTCGCTATCCATCAATGGCGTTTTGGTTAAGTAAATGTGTTGTGCGGAGAATTTGAAGTAGATAAATTCCCTTTTGGCAGGTGTAGATATCTCGTAATAGAGATTCCATAATCAATGTCGAAGATCACGTTATCTTGTTTTATCGAATTTGAGTTCATCTCCAACTCAAACCCAGATGTAATGTATTTTTAGGGAGAGAGATAATAGGTCACAAAAAGACAATTGTAAATTCTTTGTAAATCAAAATGCTTGTTTTTAATATCATAACAGTAGACGTAAGATTTACACTAAAAATCTGAACTTTTTGTTGTTATTCAATTCATTATTCGTCCATTGATCCAACATCAAGATCACAGGTTTTGCACAAACTCCTAAGTAGATTGTATCACGGATCCTACATATTTCTCTTTGGTACAAATTTCAACATCAATATTTTGATGCTAAAAGGAGGGCCTAGGCCACTCCCAAGCCCTTACCTCTGGAGACTGTGTTGGTGTCAACGTCCAACATCGATTAAGAGACGAGGCCTTGTTCGCTTGTATAGTATAGAGGCACCCTCACCACTCAAAGGCGCATTTTCATAACAAAATCGTGCAGATTTTAATGCTCAAAGCAGATAATATTTCTAAGAACCCATCTATTATGTGTCTAAATTCTATATATATCAACAACATGTAATAGCTCACTGACTTTTTTTGGCGAAATTACAATAAGTTTTGATAAAACCACTAAAAAATTTGAGTAAATTATCAGAAATTTTGGTTGATTGATTGATTGATCGATCGATCGATTTGATATGTAACTGTTGTTGAATGTAAAAATGAATGATTAATTGATTGACAAAAATTGTCAATTTTTACTTCAAAATATTTGCTTTATCCTTTACACTGTTACATTTAATTGAACTGATAGAACTTTTAAAGAGATCAATATTAGTTTCTCATAATTAGAGGAAGAAGATAATTTTTATACCTAATCGTGAGCGTGACGCTTTAATCAACTCGATGACAAAAAACCCTATCATTGTAATTAAATGTCATCTTAGTTAATCACTGGGGCCAAACTTTTTGTGGTTGTAACATTTTGCAGGGAAATTTACTGTACTGGAAATTTTGTGGTGGGATTATTACAGGAACTGAATGATAAAAGTAAAGACTCGAAAAGTCTTCCCACCAAATTTAAATGGCTTCTATCATTCACCATTTAAAGAATCCATTAAACACCACCTAACCAGATGTTCTTACAAGTTACAACTAACATATGTGGATATAATATCATTAAATTAAAATTAAAATTCCTCCTAACACTTCATATGTACATGAAATTCCATGTTTATTATTATCAAAAGTGTACCCATTTGACTTAAACAAAGATAATCAGTTTTTGCAAAACTCTCACGCGTTTAGTTACGTGTGGGATACTCATTTCTATCTCGTTCTCACGAGTATATAAGCAAACAAGCTCGACACATATTCTGCGTACTAAATTCGACCAGATTACCCAAACAAACAATACTTGAAAAAACAAAAAATGAGGCGGACATTGATTCTTTCTTTGTTCTTCTTCTTCTTCTTCATAACCCAACCCTGCCACCGGCTCCTCACCCATGCAGCCGGTGGCGGCAGCTGGAAATTCCTACAAAAAAGCATTGGCATATCAGCCATGCACATGCAACTCCTCAACAATGACCGTGTCATAATGTTTGACCGGACTGATTTTGGTCACTCTAATTTATCGTTACCAAATGGAAAATGTCGAAATGACCCCAGTGACACTGCTCTCAAAATTGATTGCACTGCGCATTCAATTGAGTATGATGTTTTGAAAAATTCATTTAGACCCCTTATGGTCCAAACCGATGTTTGGTGCTCTTCAGGTGCTCTAATGCCTGATGGTCGTCTGGTTCAAACCGGTGGATTCAATGATGGTGAGAAAAGGATCAGAATTTTCAAGCCGTGTGCAGGTACAGGATGTGATTGGCAAGAATTTGAGAATGGACTCGCAGCAAGAAGATGGTATGCTACAAATCATATTCTACCAGATGGAAGGCAGATTGTTATTGGCGGGAGAAGAGAGTTTAACTATGAATATTATCCCAAAGATGCTGCATCAAATACATACAGTTTGCCATTTTTGGTTGAAACTAGTGATCGTGGTGTAGAGAACAATTTGTACCCGTTTGTTCATCTTAATGTGGATGGAAATTTATTTATTTTCGCAAACAATCGAGCTATATTGTTGGATTATGCAAAGAACAAAGTAGTGAAGACATACCCAAAAATGCCTGGTGGGGATCCACGGTGTTATCCAAGCACGGGTTCATCAGTGTTGCTTCCACTCAAGAACTTAAAAGCAGCTAAAATTGACGCTCAAGTTTTGGTGTGCGGTGGAGCTCCAACAGGATCATATATTCAGGCAGTGAGAGGCAAATTTATTAAAGCGTTAGCCACGTGTGGCCGGATCACAATAACCGACCCAAATCCACAGTGGGTCATGGAGACTATGCCTACAGCTAGAGTCATGGGAGACATGACATTGCTTCCCAATGGCAATGTGTTAATCATTAATGGTGCAGCATCAGGGACTGCCGGTTGGGAATTCGGACGAAATCCGGTTTTGAATCCTGTTCTTTACAGACCCGACAGCAAACTCGGGTCACGTTTCGAGTTACAAAACCCCACCACCATACCGCGCATGTATCATTCTACAGCAATTTTGCTTCGAGATGGACGGGTACTTGTCGGTGGTAGCAATCCTCATATTTACTATAACTTCACAAATGTCCTTTTTCCTACAGAATTAAGCTTGGAATCCTTCTCTCCATCTTATTTAGACGCAGGATCCTCAAATTTGCGTCCAAAAATTTTGTTGCCGGGCTCTCAATCTAATCTACGATATGGTCAAAAATTAGTGGTAAGTTTCACGGTGAGCGGCAGAGTGGCTCTAGATAAGTTGTCTGTAACAATGGTGTCACCTTCATTTACAACGCATTCCTTCTCAATGAGTCAGAGATTGCTGGTGCTCGGAAGTGAGAAGGTGAACCCTCTGGGGAAATTGAAGTACTCAGTTGAAGTAACGACTCCAAAGACGGGTAATCTTGCACCGGCTGGATATTATCTTCTGTTTGTGGTTCATCAAGACATTCCAAGCGAGGGCATTTGGGTCCATCTACAATAATTAGTTGGTTTCTAATGCTTCGAATTGAAATACGGTACCGTTGCCGAGCTAGCAAATTTTTTTGAGATTTTTTAATGGCCATTAAAAAAAAAAAAATCCAATAATCAGTGCTAACCCAGCAACGTTGCTTCGACACCAGGCCCAACAATCTAGTCCTCTTGCCCAATTGAAAATAAATTAAAATACTGTGTAGTTTTTGTTTTAATTTTTTTTACAACTGTTGATTGTGACAATTTCTTACCCAGTGTGAATTCACAGAATCTTATAATAAAAATGAAATAAGAGGTGAAGTTTCAACCGCATAAATTGTGTAAGTATGTATGAACTACGAGGATGATCCTTCCAAGATGGATAAAGTATAAATTAATGGTGGTGAATGCGACATGGCAAGTTGGCAAAAGCCAGCCAGGCAGGAATTAACTTTGCTTCTCAAGACTGGAATAGAATTTGCCAGCGCCGAAAAAAGAAGCTTTCCAAACTGCCAAACCATATTCTTACGTAGAATTAATCAAATTAGTTTGTCTGCGATGCAATGATAATGATAGCCGTTTGAAAAGGAAGAACAAGGAACCGCTTTAGTAGTTAGAGAAAAGCTAGCCAAGTAAGACTACTAAACGGGGTAATTAACTAATTATAGAAATTTCTGTCCATGATAAAATACAATACCGTATACGTTTTTTGATAAAGCTGAAACTTGTAGAAATTATAAGAATGTCATAACTTTTCTTTGAATGGAAGTTTTCCGCAAGTTGATTTTACGATAAAAGACAGAGTGGGATCGGTATCTATTGGGGATAGGAAACTTCCTCAGTTCTCACAATCAAATCAGTAAATGAACATGTTGATCGCGTTTGCCTTACTGTCTGTGATGACTCTTTTTCAGCTTTTTGTCATGCCTTTGAAGATCTTGTTTTCCCTCTTATCAAAGTATTCTTGTGCACTTGGATTGGATTTCCTGCTTCCCAACTCCAGAAGGCGCCAATAGATTGAACAGAAGATGCTGGTATAAATATTGACATATGTTGTACTCATCTCTTAATAATTTTTGTTGGTGTGGAATCTACTAGCTAATACGTCAAAATCACTAAATCATCTTAAGAGCACCTTGAATATAAAAAGAGTCAAACTGACCCACCAGTCATTTTCTTAGTTAGCTTAGGCAGAAAGTCACATTTCGAATTTCACACTCACATAGCCTGTCACACTTTGACAACGATTTGCTTTTAAATTGTTTTATTCTCTTGTCATATTTTGGAGCTAATAACATATAGCCATTTAATTTCTTCCATAATTAAGCCTTTCCATTTATCATTACTTCCCGTGATACCCACTGTCATATATTGCTTTTTTAATCTTAATCTTCAAGCTGAATCAAGAAATGAAAATGAATACATTCACGGAGTAAGTTTTCAATTTTCACTTCACAAAGAAATCAAAGATTTTTATTGTGCGCGGTTTGTTGAATTTATGGTGCAATGGAGCTATAATAAAAAATCTTCAACTTGCCAGAACAAAGATGGTCCAAATGAAAACTTCACATTCATCCCAGCTGTGGCTTCTTGTTCCTAACGCTCAAAACTGTAAACATCGTCGAGCCATTTTCTGAAGAGCTAGCAAAATGATGAAAGTGAAACAGTCGAGTAAATACAAATACACATCTATCTAATTAAAGAAACTTGATTTGTAGTCAAAATGTGAGAAATGAAGTACATATGGCAACATGCAAAAGATGAAACAAAAATGAAATAAGAGCTCCGGATGAAATAACGACCTACAGAATCTGTATGGAGAAAAAGTAAAGTTGTAGGGAAGAGAGTGGTAATCATGTGAGTGATAGAAGACATGTTTTTATCCAAAAGCTCGAAATAAATGAGAGAATAAGAATGGGTGTAGTGTAATCACGTGTGCCAAAAGAGTCGGCAGTTTTTGCAAATTGTGTGTGCGGGGGAATGGCAGTTTGTGTGTGTCACGGGTTATTGGGACCTTGAATCCAGGGTTCACGCCTTCACGGGTCTGATTCAATACCCATTCCAATCATCTGATTTAACCCCATCACACAGAAAGCTATTGCTGTTCCATTGATCTCTCTTCAAGACTTTTTTTATATTATGGACTGCCGAGAACCCAAGATAAATCGTCTCTTATTCACTCTACAGCTTACAGCTAAACTCTGGGCTTAGTCGCAAACATGATTAGGCATTTTCTATCGTATCACTCTACAGGTAAACTCTGGACTTACTTGCAAACAGAATTGGGCCTTCTCGAAGGGATTTTAGGGTTTATAAATTTACTGTTTGAGGAGAGCTAGTATTGTTTGGGCTATCATCCATAGCATAACTCACGCTGGACAGTGTCATCTATGCAATGTGTCATGTACATTCTCATTTGCGGAATCAATTGAGTTCATCTTTTAACAAATTAATAAAGATAAGTTGATAAATACTTTTCATAATTTTCTCTCACAAACACTGACATGATAATAGGACTCGTTGTTGGACGGACAAGACCCATTGTAAACTGACTAATTACTAACTGACACATCGCGTTTATAAGAGAAAAGAAATAAGAAGAGTTTGTGAGTATAGTATTACTATTAACAAATATAGTGTCTACAATATAAAAACTATTATGTATACACTATATACTACCATTTGCAGTGAGAAGTTCTAATATGTAAGCATCAACGTATGGGCAGCCAACCTACCATTTGGAGTGAGAAGTACAAATATGTAAGCAACTAAGCATCAACATATGGGCAACTAACATACAACAGTGAGAAATTCTAATAGGTAATCATCAACATGTGGACAGTTAGCCTTGAATCATAATCGGGCTATCAGGCTATAAATTTAACCGATTCAGAAAATGAGTCAACAACTCTTTTGAAGTATAGGAACCGAAATGGTTTCATCATCAATTCATTAACTTATGTGCCGACACTTTTGGGTCCAGGTATGATTTGACCTAACCCAACCCGATACAATTGAGTCCAATGGGGTTGATACTTTTTTTTTCCTTTATCAAATTCAAATGACATTATTTAATCTTTTGCAACCAAAAATACTTTTAACCTTTTTTTTCTTTTCATGGATTAGTAAATTAGGGGCATAAACAAATCGAGCCGAGCCAAACTTGGGTAGCTCAGCTGAAGTTCGAAAAAAGCTCAGTTGTATCAAAATTACTTTCTTCATACAAGAGAGTTCAAACTTCAAAGTCACTTGATTTAGGTTTTAGGTTTTTTCGCAATTCGATTTTTAATTGATTTGGGAACATGGATGGCTTCATTTTGATTGGATTTTGGGAATATTACTTTTAGTATTCTCAAAAAAATTAAACAGTAAAATATCAAAAAACTTACAATATTATTTAATTTTATTCAATTTTTTTTTAAACTCTCTAAATTTATTAATTTAATTAAATATCTCTAAATATTTTTAATATTTTTATTACAATGACTCCAACCATCTCTGACAATAATAAACCAACTATCCGTTATTTGAGGGTAGATTAAAAGTGTTTTTATTAATTTTTAATATTTTATTATAAAAAGTGTTTTATAAAAGAAAAATATATATATATATATATTTTATTAATTTATAAATCTTATATTATAATATCCACTCAATTTAATTTTTTTTTTAATTTTTTCCAAAACACTTTTCTCATAACCAAATGTCTTTCTCATTTTCGAAACCTTCTAAGTTCATATACCCCATAATAATTATAAAACTACCATTTTAACTCCCTTTCAATCTGGCTGACGCTTGCGAGCTCGAGAAGCCAAAGCGTCGATCGATCAAAGCTCGACTCGACTTCTTTGTCCAAGCAAACCCAAGCTGTTGTTAAGCCAAGCTAAGCCACTCGACGAGCGGCTTGACTCGCTTGACACCCCTACTGACAGTAGGGAAATTGAAAGTAATAGCATCTCCCAATAAAAGCCTGCCACATGCATAAATTTAATTTTTCAAATAATTTCGGGTTCCGGTTCAACTAGCTTTAACCATCACTCTACCGAAAACGGCTTCATTTATCAACCCAAGCTACAAATGAACAGACTCGACCCGGTTTTTTCTAGTGTACCGACAACCAAGATAACCAGTACTCCATTCATCCAATGCCCCAACAAAAGTACACAACGTAGATTGAGTTCACACAAACACCACATTAAGCAAAACGTTAAAACACATAAAACCCATCAAGCAACAAGATAATTAACAAACACAATAAGATTTTTATCTAGATAAAATAGGTTCCACAATATCCAATTATCCTACAAACTTCTTTCCAAATGTTTCATATCATCCTTCTTTACAAAACAAAAGAAATAGCACCAAGTTGTTAAAACCCTAATTAATACAAATCTGAGGGGCAAGTATATCGGGAGTACACTTAAGCACGCTCGCCACGAATTCGCCTAGCCAATTGGATATCCTTAGGCATGATTGTAACACGTTTGGCGTGAATAGCGCAAAGGTTGGTGTCCTCAAACAGACCCACAAGATACGCCTCAGCAGCTTCCTGAAGGGCGAGCACCGCGTGACTCTGAAACCTCAGATCCGTCTGCCACAACAAAGGTAAAAATAAGCACAACAATCCTATATCAGGAAACAAACCCCAACAATTAACACAAAGAGAACAAATAGCCAAGAGTATTAAACGGAATTATAGTATTATACCTTGAAGTCTTGAGCAATTTCACGAACAAGACGTTGGAAGGGCAACTTACGGATCAAAAGCTCAGTACTCTTCTGGTACTTACGGATTTCACTGTAAAATTAACACAATTAACGTTATTGGCAAGAAAGCAGAATAATCATAAAACCAAGAATAAATAATTCCCAAAAAGAGAATAAAAGTCCAAAATTTTTACCGAAGAGCAACAGTTCCGGGACGGTAACGGTGAGGCTTCTTTACTCCACCGGTGGTCGGAGCAGATTTTCTTGCAGCCTATATTTGGTTAATTGCCACCAAAAATAATAATTAGAACGGCAATTTCTAAAATATTTAGCTCAAATGTAAGACACAGAGAATTTCAATTAAATCTTGAAACCCTAGACAAGTACTTGAGTTTAATTCTATGCAGTTCTACCCCTTTATATAGATATTAAACCAGTAACCAACGTCATTTTCTTTCAAAATATACGAATACAAGAAAATCAAACAAACTAATTTCCTTCTAACCAAACGGATTATCAACAAAATAACAAAAAGAACAATAAAGCTAAATTCGAAACCCTAAGCAGAAGTACCTTTGTGGCGAGCTGCTTCCTGGGAGCCTTTCCTCCGGTTGATTTGCGAGCAGTTTGCTTGGTACGAGCCATTCCTCTTCAATCAAGAACGCTGAGTCTAAACACTCTGCCAAAATTCAAAAACCACAGAACTCAATCAGATCTGCAAACGCCGCCAAAATATTGTCAAAGCCAACACCTCAAAATAACGATTCAAAACGGGAGCTTACCTTTTGAATCACAAAAGCAAAGAGACAGAGAGCAAATTGGGAACTTTGTTTGACCTTTTAAGAGAGATAAATCAATAGCAACACGGTAATTAGAAGCACGCGAAGTACAGTTTATATAGGCAAGGGTGGGGTTAGGTCGGTTTGATTAGGGAATAAGGAAAACGACGACGTTCAGGAATTTTAGAAAATTCCTTGATCGGTGTTTTCGCTTCTGATTGGCTCGTTAATTGATAGGAGGATTGCCAGCGTGGACGAGTTGTGTTTCTTCTGTGAGATAAAAAACAGAATGAGTTGTGGTTATTGCAACTCACGAGTTGTGTTTAATGATATGAGGATTGCCACTTGTCCATATCCTAATGGTTATTTGTAATAGTATGTCTATTTCGGTAATTACCGCTAAATCCAATGACTCCTGAATCCTGATCCATTTCCAGTTTGGACAATACGATTTGCATGACAGTAAGATTACAATTTCTTTCGTTAACAATAAAAAACAAACATAATTCAAATTTAATAACCATCTAAAAATTGCCATCCCTGCTTATGCAACCATCCCAATTGACAGAAAATATTTTTTGTGTTTCATGAGTGAGTGATATTGTACATTTTATGACTACTGAATTATATTTGGACTATTTTCTGTAAGAAAAAATAAATACGAATTATTAATCAAAATTGTAACAAGACAGATGTCCTGAATATAGATTGTGTGTCTGAACAATAGAAGTGTTCAAAAAAAATGAAAAAACCAAACTGAACTGAAAAACAGTTCGATTACAGTTAAAAAAAATTCAAAAAACAAGATTTTTAGTTCGGTTACCGATTCAGGAAAAAATCAAAACCGGTTTATATATATATATATTAAATCAAAATAAAAATATATATTATTAATTTTTAATATGTATAAATGTTTAATTTTTATTTAGATATGTATTGTTTATGTTTACAATCTAATTTAGGAAAAAAAAATTTTAAAATGTTTTATCCAATAAAAAAAAAAAAAATCGGTTCAAAACTGGTTAACCGAAAAACTGGTTTTTCTCTCAAACCCATTTGGTTTTAGCTCGGGAATTTTCCTTGACTAAAAAAACCAGTTGCGTTTAGAAAAACGGTTAACTGAACCGGTTAACCACTTTTGAACACCCCTGCTGAACAATTACCTTGTTGAAAAAGAAACACTAAAAATACATATATCCTCTTTCACAAAAGTTTATGAGTATAATAGAAAAAAACGTTCTTGTCAAAGGTAATAAAAAACCTTCTACTAATCTCTCGGAACCCTTTCAATCGAAGTGTTTTGAATTCAAAAGTTGTTGATTTATCTAACCACTCGACCATCCAAATATGGTTAATGCTTATTGACCCTTGTTGATCTTACTTCACCTAGGTGCAAAATGCTCCATTTCTTTGGTCCACATGAACTTCCCATTTGGCCCACGCCCACCAACAGAGTTCCTTAATTGTGGCCCAACCATTGCAAGGCCGTGAAATCGTATGCCAGTTACAATTTATATATCGGTCAGGTTATAATCCGAACAGAGGTGATACTATTATTGATGATTTATACTTTAGTGTTTTACTTAATTGCAAACTGTCAATTGCGAGCTATCACGTCACGATTGTGAGAAAAGTTTTGTGAAAAAGGGTTGTTGATGTAGTATTACTACTATTATTGATGACTCATACTTTGGTGTTTTACCTTTTTTTTTTTTTNCTTGTACAGTCAAAGGGGGATCGATTCCGTAAAAGATAAGATCAGTAAATGGAAATTCACTGAATTTCAATCTTTGTGAGATCGTCAATATAGTACCAAGGGTATTTTTAGAATATACCGAATCAGTATAGCTATCCTTCTTCTGACACAGCAACGCAACCTCAATCAGTATCGAAATGCGGGGCTAGATAATTGTTTTCTTCGTTTCTTCTTGCTGGTCGATGTATAACTGTGTACCATTCAATAGAAAATTCATCAAATTTCTGTAGTATGGGGTTTCTTTTCTCTCCATTTCCATTATCGGCTTCGGACTAGAAATTGAAGATCAGGTAAAATGGAAATCCGACAAATTGTTTTCTTTTTCTAATAATAATAATTCATGACGAAGATTATCATATTTCCCCACTTCAAGTAGATGTGAAATCTACAAATCCCCTTTTCGTAGGTGTAGAAGAGGTTTTTTGTTGTAATCCCCCTCTTTTTTTTTAAGGAATTGCTTAGTCGGCGAGAAACAAGTAACGGTGGTAGATAGGATTCGATAAAAGAAGGAGAAAAACGCTTATAAAGGCTTCTCTTCTAACCCAAACATCAGTCTACTGACGCTGCTGCAGCGGCGATGGGTGGAAGAAAGAGCGCAGGCTATGTGTGGGCAGTCTCCGCCGGACTGAATGCTGCTCTGGCTGCCATATCCGCTAAGCTCTTCTCATCTCAGGTATCTTCTTTTCTCATCCTCTGATCCTCATAACAACTTACGTTTTTATTATTCACTAATTAAATTATCCCACTCTGTAATCTGCCTTGTCGATTTTAGCTTGTAATTTGTAGAAAGCACATCCCGTCTATTTCAATTCATTAAATCAAACCTTAGTCGAGGAATTTAAAAATTCATATGCCGAGAACGGATTTCAGGATTTGGCACATAAATTTTTGGCTTTTCTGGATTGTTAACATAAGAGTAGTAAACTTGTGTAAATTAATTGCTTGTGGTCTTCTTTTCATCGAGCCTGTTAATTGCGTGTGGCTGCTTTTCTTTTGGCTGTTTGGTTCAACTTCTAGTTACAAGGTTTCTGCTAGACTAGCCCAGTAGTCCTTGTTTGATTTTATATATGTTTTTAGGCGGTTTGTTTTTAGGCTGTTGCTATAATACAACCATGTAACAGTGTGTATTACAAGTTTTACGTTTTTTGTTTAAAAGTTTTGGCTATGAATTTACAAGTTTTGTGTTGAAATATTGTTACAGCACTGTATTGTAGCAAAACCCATGTTTGTAATGTAGCATCTAAAGCTTTTCTCTGTGACTTGTTATCTTTGGGTCTCCTTTTATTTCTAGTCCATATCTGATCAATAGATATTAGATATCTATGTTCATAAGTTTAACACATGCTTCCTCAGTTTGGTTTCTTAATCCCCTTTCATCTTGTTATATTCATTTTCTTTATCTTTGTTCCATTTCAATTTAAGCCTTTTTTTTCTCTCTCTTTTTCTTTTTTTTTCTTTTTCTTCTTCTTCTTCTTTTCTGTGTCATGCTGTTGATCTATGAATGCTTCTTGTGCTTAACAGCTCGTCTGCTATGGAATGGTCATAGTGTTTAACGTGACAATGTGGGGCTGTTATGTCAACAGTCTTAAAGCTCTCTCATCCCTACAGGCGACAGTTACAAACTTTGCTACTAACTTCCTATCTTCTGGTCTTGCTGGATTGTTTTTGTTCAGGGAACCATTACCATTTCAGGTAACAATCGGGTTCTGTGATTGATTGATGTTGAAGATCTTTGACTGCAATTTTTTTGCATGCATAGATCTATTTAGATCTTAAAAGGATTCTACCTGCATCATGAAAATACGATTTGTTTGTACCTTTTCAAAAAATCGTCTGCAAAGTTGATATACTCGTCCATGATTGTTTCTTCAATTGTTAATGATCATGGAATGAATCACTGATTACCTCTGCTTGTGGTAGAAGATGATTTCAAATTGCATACTTGGTTTAGTAAAATGCAGTACTGAAAAGTGCTCGTGAATATGTGTATGGGCGGTTTACAAGTAAAAGGGTAAGTAGCACTAGGAAATTCCAAACTATGTGATGTTTTCAGGAGTAACAAAATTGAGGGAGATCCATGTGCCCTTGGTTTCAGTATGATTGTGCTCAAACCCAGGTCTGAAAATCCTAGTATGTATTCATAGTAGAACTACTGATTTCCTATACCTTTTACTGGTGATAAAAACAATAACTTGAGTTTATAAAAAATATGCAAGGAAATATTATGAGTTCTAACATCGCTCTCCATTATTGGGGCGTGAATCAGCAGAAGCTTTATCCTAGTGACAAACTTTATAAAGTGAAAAGTGAACTCTTTTATTTAAGTATTATATATATATATATTTTTTTTTTTGATAAAAGAAACAAATATCATGTGTTTTTGTTTTGAGATCTCAGGTTTAGTTACAATGATGTGGTAATAATTTAAAATGCCACAATATTTCATCATCTATATGGCAAATTTAAATCAATGTCATTACTTGTATTAACTTTTAATTCTACATTCTGAGCTACTGAATTGTGTAAGTATCAATCTTTCCCGGTATTTGATTTCATAACCGTTTTACCTTGTGACTGACAAACTCATGTTTTCAGATTTTTTTTCTCATTAAATCATATATTTCTGATAAAAGTTTGTTTCACAGTGGTTTGCAGGTGCTCTCTTCATTGTAATTGGAGTACTTATTCTGAGTAAGTCAAATGTAGACACGAAGGAGAGCATAGATTGAGGTTTGAGATAAAGTTTTGCTCGAGATATTGCGAGGCCAAGAAGTTAATAAAGAAAGAAAAAATTTTGTGGAAGAATGCTGAGTACTTTTGTTATAGGCCACATTTTGATTCTACTGGGTGTCATTCATATCAAGCCTGATTGAACCAGGTCTGGGCACATGAGCAAATGGAAAACATCTGGCATCATGAATGATATTTGCTTTAGTCCTGTGGCAACATAGACATGGCTGTGAATATAATACAATCATGTAAAAGTGCATATTACAAGTTTTACAGTTTTGATTTATAAATTTCACGTTATGAGGTTATAAGTTTTACGCATAATTAACTTTGATCTTTAGAATTTGTTGGTTGTTCAAGTATTTCATTTGGGCATCGTAAGATGAAGCCATTGTAGCCCAGACCAGCTGCATCACGTCTCTTGCTACAATTTAAAAGGCTTCTTCGCGCAACATGTTGTTTCATTTAAGGACAGACCCCCACAAGTCGTTTGGTTAAAGATCGACTTTCAACAAAAATTACAAAATAAAAAGCTAAATGAAGAACATGTTATTTATCTGCAGTTAAATTCACAATTAATTAGAAATAAATGTGTGGTTATCATCAAATCATTATGTTTAACCTCTTTCTTTTAAAAAAAAAAAAAATTAAAACAAATACAAGATAGAAGAGTACGGAAGAACCACTTTCGGATAATCGAGTAATTAAATAAGAACTTTTAGGATATTACTTATAAGATCTTGAATTTAATTCATTTTGATTATTAATAGGGTAATCATTATAACTTTATTTGACTATTAATTTCAATACCTTATAAATTAATTAAAAACAGTAAATAAAAAAAGAATAATATTATACATACATTATTTTCATATAATATTTCTCATACAATATTATACAATAAAATATGATTGGATAAAAATTTAATTTTAATTTTAAATTAGTTAATTGTATGAAAATAATATAAATACAGTATTACTGATAAAAAAAACAAGGGTATGGGAATTACCTCTTGCCATACCATAATGTCCAAATAAAACAGTCATTAATTGTTTACATTTTAATATAAACTCTGAACTCAAGTACATCAATGCCAGAGCAAATGAACAGAGCCCATAATGAAAATGAAGCAATAAACAATCTTGTCTTTTTCTCCTCACCCAATCCACTAGTACAAAAACTAAAAACAATCTGAACCGTCCACTGTACAAGAATCTCGAGGCACATCCCACATTGGACGGTTAGAACAGAGTTTGTAGATGGGAGGTGGCAAATTCGCACCCTCCAGACAGCAAACAAAACTTGCTCACAGTGTCAAATACCTACACCAGGCAGTAACTTAAGTTTAACTTTAAGTGGGAGGGGATAAATATTAAATAAAAAAACAACAAAAAAACTAGACAACAGTAGACGAGTTATGAAGAGAAAACGAAGTAAATACCCAACCAAAGACATAAAGTTGAAAATTCTCTTACCTTTCTCTCTCTCCGTTCGACAGATTTTTCATCTTCCCCAATTAGGGTTCGGTTCTCTCTTCCTGCTTCTTTTACTTGTAAGTTTTGATTTCCTCTTTTTTCTATCTTTTTTGTTTTTATTATACTTATTCAATTTTAAGTAATTGATCATTGTTATCTATCTGTTTTTTGTTCTTTGAAAATGGTTTTTACTTTATATTTCAAGTAATATTTACTTGTTTTAGTGTTTAGTTTGTTCTATTTTAGTTTTTGGTTTGTGTGCGTCTGTGTGTGCAAGTGAAGCTTGCTTTGACTGGCTTAATGCTTTTTTGATTTCTGCTGTTTTGGTCAGCGGTGGAAAAGGGGGTTATTTAAGAGGGTTGGGCTGGTGATTTTGAACTCAAGTCATTGGTGAAGCTAAGGAAGTAAGGATTAGGGTCGTTTTCAGTGTTTGACTAGAAAGGAGTTTGGGATCTCTAGTTTATTTCTGGTTATAGGTGAAACATTTATGCTTGGTTTCTTACTAGCGACTTGGTTTTCTGTGCAATTTTTGAAGCTATCTGGTTTCCTCTTTATAACTACTAATTTGCAAATGCTTTTTTGTCCAGGGCGTGTGTTTGAAAGTTGTTATTACATATTGTCTATAGTGGGAATTAATGTAAAGCTTGAGATTTTGTGTTTAACTTCTCGGGGATACTATTAATCTTGGAAATAAAGAATTTGACGTGGAGAAATTGATTTTGATTCTGGAAAGAAGAGGAGAATTGGGAAATGGTAAACAAGATTTAGTTAATTGTATGTGCAATATAATCATTTGAATCCTAAATTATAAATTTTCAGGGCCTTCTTAGAATATAATCGGATATAATTGACAATATTCAAGAATGAGCTCCTAGAACTTTTTAACTGCTTGTTGAGATGGTGATTGTGCAAATAACATGACAATAAAAGTATCTATGTGTTTCTCTCTCTGCATTTTCACTTTTGTGTGGATTCTAACTTCCCTTTTTATTCATTTCTTATTTGTTGTGGCTATAACCGTGCAAGCTTTGGCATTCTATGGATAATTATGGGATTAGCCATTTGGTGAGATTATTAAAGACAGTGTGCCTGTCTATAATATGGAAAATCTTTTTAAAAGTGGTTTGTTGAAGGGTAGTAATTTTATTTACTTAAATTTTGGATGGAGTCAACATCAACGAGGTCTTTTGATTGATACAGATTACTGAAGATTGAATTGCTTTAATATACACTACCAAGGACAAGCCACAATGATGTAGATTGCTTTTCCCATTGGAGTCTATTCAATAAAAACCCACTAGAATTGAAGATCAATATGAACAAGAGCAGGACTGTTAGACAAGACCCAATTAAACCTATAGTTTGCAATTTCAGGTAGATTCTTCTTGTTTGAAAGAGAATAAAACCTGCTTTATAGGAATTATGATTTGGTATTACGTGAACAAAAGCAGTTGATTTTTTTATCATTCTGCTGCTAGCCTGCTAGTATATGGCAGGTGTAATGCTTACTTCCTGAAGTCTTGTTTTGACATCAAAGTAAGGATTCCTAATTGCAATGTTTTTGTTTCTTTGGTTGTCAAGATCTGATGTTATTTTTGCTTTCAATTTTTTCCAATTAATACTTTGTTCTTCTTATTGAGAAACTATTGGGATTACTCTATTGAGGTTTACAGCCTTCCTTTCATCCTAAACTCTCAAATACTTCTGGGGTTTATTAATTTAGGCTTATAACCTTTCAGACCTTGTCCCAACATTTTTACATCTAACTAATAAAGCTTTGGACTCCCAACTGGACTGGCTGCTTATAGTATGGGTATGCTTAAGTGCTGCTCATATGTGAGAGATATTGGCCACCTAAGCTGCAAAGTGGTGTTATGATGTTTGAAATGTGCATGCTTCTGTTTGACCAATTGGTGTCATTAATTTGCTTAAGCAGTTGTGCTTCTGCTAGTTTGGTTGTGATTTTTATTCTTACTATCTTATCTCGTCAATTCATTTTGGGGCTTCACTTCAGCGTTCGTGTCCGTCTTCATGCAGGGGTTGTTTCCATTAATAGTTTTCTCTTTAATTATTTTTTAATTGTCGTCCTTTGTTTACTTTGAGATGCAGGATATGTAGCCATGAATGATTATGATGTTTAATTGACCAAGCATTTTTCCACATACTGTATTTGCCATCTTGAATTACATTTGCATCTCAAATGGATGACGGTGGGCATCGTGAAAATGGGAGACACAAAGCAGAGCAGTATAAGGCAGCTCAGGGCCAGGTATTTACAAGCACTGTGGGAAATTGAAACTTGAACAGTGTGGATTAACAATATATAAATGCCTTTTGTCACCATTACAATTGCAGTGAGAAGATTTTTTCACATAAAATCTGTCTGATGATTATTCTTTCACTGGTGTTATAACAGTGGTTTGTGCATCATCAACCAACGATGAAACAGATAATGGCCATTATGGCTGAGAGAGATGCAGCCATACAAGAAAGAAATTTAGCTCTTTCTGAGAAAAAGGCAGCCATCGCAGAACGAGACATCGCATTCCTGCAGCGAGATACGGCAATCGCTGAACGTAACAATGCTATGTTGGAACGAGACAATGCCATTGCAAGTCTTCAATATCGAGAAAATTCCTTGACTAGTGGTAGTATGTCTTCATGTCCACCAGGATGCCAAATTGGCCGTGGGGTGAAGCACATACACCACCCACAGCAGCATGTACATAATCTGACCCATATGACTGAAGCTGCATATGGTGCAAGGGAGATGCATACAAGTGATGGCATCCCCATGTCTCCTGGGGCTAATGAGGTTGGAAAGCCACGGCGGGGTAAACGAGCAAAGGAGGCCAGGGTGATGTCACCTAGTAAGAAGACATCAAAACCTCCACGGAAGATTAAGAGGGAAACTGAAGACCTAAATAAGATTGTGTTTGGGAAGCCACAAGAGTGGAAAAATGTGCAAGATTTGGATGGTGGAAGTGATGATGTAAACAAACATTTGGCAACTTCAAAGTCTGATTGGAAGGGTCAAGTTCTGGGATTGAACCAAGTTACATTTGATGAATCAACCATGCCAGCACCTGTATGCTCCTGCACTGGGACACTAAGACAGTGTTACAAGTGGGGAAGTGGGGGTTGGCAGTCTGCATGTTGTACTACCTCCTTGTCGATGTATCCACTACCGGCAGTGCCTAACAAACGGCATGCCCGAATAGGTGGTCGGAAGATGAGTGGAAGTGCATTCAACAAGCTGCTTAGCCGGTTAGCTGCTGAAGGCCATGATCTGTCAAATCCAGTTGATCTGAAGGACCATTGGGCCAAGCATGGAACAAATCGCTACATCACAATCAAGTAGTTGTTAAGAAATTTTGATTTGGATGGAGGAATAGGGAAAACATAGAATCAGCATGTGATGGTCGGGCATGGGCATGGTTTTTCCAATGAGCTGTGGAGGTAATAAAAAATTGATGTAGCTAAAATGTGAATTACTGGGTCGGTGATGGGAGAGAATTTATTGAGATGGATGAGTAGATCCTCTCGCTTTCCGATTTCTTTTTAATCTTTTGTCATCATTTTTGTTGTCTCATGATAAATCTGAGTAAGCCATGATTTAAATGAGAATGAAGGGTTGTTTCTCATTGGCTAGTTTAACGTTGGTCAGCTACAATTAATCCTACTCGTTAGCTCCAGATAACTGTAGAGGGCAGTATCTCAACCTCTTGTTGTACTTGTATGAACAGAAGTGTTAATTTATAGTAGAATCCATTATGTAGATGTTTCTTCCGCTAAAGACCGCATGTTCAGCTGTTCAGGGTTATATAACAATTTTTGGGATCTGAGTTAATTAGTAACCTAAACAATAATCCTCCCCTTATTCAACAGGGTAAGATTCTTCATTCTTGCATTGTAAACCGCCAATATAAAGCTCATTTTTCATTTGTTAACGCAGGGCCAAGTCCAACAGCTGGTTTGATATTTCTAGATCCCGAACCATAAAGTAAATCCTTAGGAAACGTGACATTTTAAGTACTTACTTTGATGGCATTCTGTGACCCTCCTAATCTACAATTTTATAACTTATTTTCATTTTCTGATGGCCTTCCGCCTTATAGGAAGCAAAGCGTTCAATTAGTTCCCATTTCCGATTAGTAAGTTGAATATTTAGACCAGACTCCGATCCGATCAATACCAACGAAATCTACTTTGAATCATCATCTACCACCCCCATTTCCACTACCATCCCATTAACAGGAGAGCGATCGAAGATTTTACAGTGTTCATGTCAGATCACATATTGTCAGCACAAGTAATCAGCCAGGGATAACTGTAATATATATGTTCTCATCACCCATAAACACTGACTATTGCATTATAAGGAAATGCCGTCAAGAAAATATCAATTTAGCATTTACATGGAAATGAATATGAAAAGCAGATAATAGAAAGCCTCAGACCGTCCTAGTTCATAAAATTTCGACATTTTAAGCAAGTTAAACCACTTGCATTTCAGTGTCTCATTCAAAAATGTCATCATAGGCTCCATTAAAAATTAATAACATGAATTTGATTCTAATAACTAAGAGAATTTCGGAAACAAAAGTGTCAGATTTAACCAAATATCAGCACCTATAAATCAGACAGGGATAACTGTATATTTCAGGCTTTCTCCTCATCCACAAACAAAACCAAAAAGAAAGAAAATAAACTACAAATTAATCATAGTAGAATAAAACTTGCATGAAGAGGCATCAGATCTTCCTATTCAATAATGAAAAAAAAGGAATCATAATACCCAGAACAAAGTCTGAGCATTCAACCCTTCGGCATGCTCGTCATTTGGCCTCCTCGGAATCGTATAGAAAATGATAGTAATAAAAAAGAAAGTAAAAAGATAAGGTTAAGGTACGTGATGATGGACGCTAAGATCCAAACCGTCAAGAAAGAAGAGCATAATTACTTAGAGAAGAGAGCTACGGCGTTTAGAGACTACACTAGGGTTTTAGACTTGAGTGCAACACCTTCTCCTTTTATAACTGTAAAGGAGGGTTTCTTCACAGCGGTTTGGTTTTGGGCCTTTTGGCACGGGTTTTAATCCGACGGCGGTGATTTTAGATGGGAAGAATAAAATCTTTGGTGATTTGGTCAATAAAACCCTATCACAGACAAGTGGTTTGAGACCATGTCACCATGTTGGTCACAGTCCTGTGACTGCTCCAAAACTTGGGCCGTACTGGTCAAAAGATAAAAAAATAAAAAATAAATTTCATTTATATATAACTGGACGGTGGAGCCCTTGTAATTAGGCGGAGATCCATGGGCTAAAAGATTTTAAACAAATCTGAAAAAATAAATAAATGGTGCTGTCTCTATGATCTAGTGTTTTTTTTTCGCGGAGATTTTGTAATTTCAAGAAAATTTTATGACCAATGTCCAATATCAAAGTTTTAACCAAATTTAAATAAATTTTAAATTGGGTAATATTATACTCACAAATACTTTTCACTAAAGTCAGCTTGCATGAGTCTCGTTTATCTAATAACAAATCTCCTCTAACTAAGCTAATTGCAAACTGTCATATGAGATTAATAGAAAATGTCAATGAAAATTGTTTATGAGATTAGTATTATTGATTTAAATATATATAATGATTAATTTATTTATATTTGAGGGGCCAATGCTATTGATACAATCAAAGTTCGATGATATCAATGTTTATAATGGTTTGTTAACTAGTAATCTGGTTTTGACTAGAGAAAACTCCAATGTTTCAAAGTGTACTCAAGTTTTTTAGTCCAATCTCACTTTACACGTTAATCTCCATGTAAACACTTTGTACCGACGTATCACAATCTCCTAACGAAATATTTATACAGAGATACCATAATAAATAAATACAGAAGATTTATGCATGTAATAAAATACACAGAAAAATCAACGGCGGTGAACGGGGGGAAACCTTCACACGAGACAAAAACGCGTCTACGCGGAGAGCCACGACAGTGACAATAAAATCCGTTCTTGTCCTATGCAAAACATAAGGCTTAGCTTTAGTGGGTGTTGTTGCATTTGTATTTCGGTAATTTTGAGGTTTATAGAAAGTTTTATAGTTTTGGCATGTTTGTAAATCTCGCGTGATTACCGCCATATTTTGGTTAACAAATCTCCATTTCTCAGATTCACTCTCATTTGCCGTGTACGGACTTCTACGCTACTTTGTATTGATTCATTGTATTTGTATTCGGCACATCAAACCAGAGTATAGTTTGCGCTTCTCGATACAGCCATTCTTTTTTTTTTTCTCTTTTTTCTTTACTTTCTTTTCAGATTCCCGGGTATCAGTTCTTCTTCAAGTGTTGATGATTTCAGGAGTTAGGGTTTTGTTATAAAGATTGGAAAATAGATTGTGGGCAGTGAGAAGAAGTAGTGTGCTCTAGTATGCAGAAACTTGAATCAGCTTCAATCACCAAGGCAAGAAACAATTTGGACGTTCCCAATTACGGTGCGAGTCAAATGGGTCAATTATCTCAAAACATGAGTCCCGAGAACAACAGGAGACCAGGTATACCTCCTTCACACCCAAATAATCCTCTTTCATTGCCTTATTCACAGTCACAGATGATGGCGTCTCGTTCAAATGCCAACTTGGGAGCATCCCATTATAGGTCTTTGTCTCAATCATCCGGTTTTGATTGCTTGCCTCCGCTGAGTCCGTCCAATCCATTGACTTATCGTGAATCACCAGTGTCTGATACAGTTTCGAATAATGTGTATATGGAGGAAAGAGTTGGTAATTCTCATGGATTATCGATTCCTACTCCTGTTAATAGAGTTAATGCTTCGAGGGCTGCTGAGAATTTGCCTCCTCGTAAAGGACATCGGCGATCCAGTAGTGATATTCCTCTAGGATTTTCTGCAATGATTCAATCTTCGCCACAATTGATACCGATTGGGGGTAGGGGAATAGTTGAGGTGGAAAAGCCAATTCAGTTGGTGAAACGAGAATCGGAATGGAATGCCAAGGATGGAAGTAATAATGCAGAAGGTATAAGTGAGAAGAAACCAGAGTTGGTGGATGATTTGTTCAGTGAATACATGAATTTGGACAATATTGATACATTGAACTCGTCTGGTACCGAGGATAAGGATTTGGATAGCAGAGCTAGTGGTACTAAGACAAATGGAGGTGAAAGTAGTGATAACGAAGTGGAAAGTCATGCCAATGGAAATTTGACGGGGACTAGTTCAAGTGAGAAGAGGGAAGGTATCAAGAGGCGTGCTAGTGGAGATATAGCTCCGACTGGTAGGCACCAAAGGAGTCTTTCAATGGATAGTTATATGGGGAATTTTCAATTTGATGATGAGTCAACAAAGCTTCCTTTCGGAACTCAACTTTCTCCTGGCAGTTCAATTGATGTGAACTTAGCTAAGGTGAGCTTGGAGTTGAACGGTGAATTCAGNTACACAGAAAAATCAACGGCGGTGAAGGGGGGGAAACATTCACACGAGACAAAAACGCGTCTACGCGGAGAGCCACGACAGTGACAATAAAATCCCTTCTTGTCCTATGCAAAACATAAGGCTTAGCTTTAGTGGGTGTTGTTGCATTTGTATTTCGGTAATTTTGAGGTTTATAGAAAGTTTTATAGTTTTGGCATGTTTGTAAATCTCGCGTGATTACCGCCATATTTTGGTTAACAAATCTCTATTTCTCAGATTCACTCTCATTTGCCGTGTACGGACTTCTACACTACTTTGTATTGATTCATTGTATTTGTATTCGGCACATCAAACCAGAGTATAGTTTGCGCTTCTCGATACAGCCATTCTTTTTTTTTTTTTTTTCTTTTTGTATTTGTATTCGGCACATCAAACCAGAGTATAGTTTGCGCTTCTCGATACAGCCATTCTTTTTTTTTTTTTTTTTCTCTTTTTTCTTTACTTTCTTTTCAGATTCCCGGGTATCAATTCTTCTTCAAGTGTTGATGATTTCAGGAGTTAGGGTTTTGTTATAAAGATTGGAAAATAAATTGTGGGCAGTGAGAAGAAGTAGTGTGCTCTAGTATGCAGAAACTTGAATCAGCTTCAATCACCAAGGCAAGAAACAATTTGGATGTTCCCAATTACGGTGCGAGTCAAATGGGTCAATTATCTCAAAACATGAGTCCCGAGAACAACAGGAGACCAGGTATACCTCCTTCACACCCAAATAATCCTCTTTCATTGCCTTATTCACAGTCACAGATGATGGCGTCTCGTTCAAATGCCAACTTGGGAGCATCCCATTATAGGTCTTTGTCTCAATCATCCGGTTTTGATTGCTTGCCTCCGCTGAGTCCGTCCAATCCATTGACTTATCGTGAATCACCAGTGTCTGATACAGTTTCGAATAATGTGTATATGGAGGAAAGAGTTGGTAATTCTCATGGATTATCGATTCCTACTCCTGTTAGTAGAGTTAATGCTTCGAGGGCTGCTGAGAATTTGCCTCCTCGTAAAGGTCATCGGCGATCCAGTAGTGATATTCCTCTAGGATTTTCTGCAATGATTCAATCTTCGCCACAATTGATACCGATTGGGGGTAGGGGAATAGTTGAGGTGGAAAAGCCAATTCAGTTGGTGAAACGAGAATCGGAATGGAATGCCAAGGATGGAAGTAATAATGCAGAAGGGATAAGTGAGAAGAAACCAGAGTTGGTGGATGATTTGTTCAGTGAATACATGAATTTGGACAATATTGATACATTGAACTCGTCTGGTACCGAGGATAAGGATTTGGATAGCAGAGCTAGTGGTACTAAGACAAATGGAGGTGAAAGTAGTGATAACGAAGTGGAAAGTCATGCCAATGGAAATTTGACGGGGACTAGTTCAAGTGAGAAGAGGGAAGGTATCAAGAGGCGTGCTAGTGGAGATATAGCTCCGACTGGTAGGCACCAAAGGAGTCTTTCAATGGATAGTTATATGGGGAATTTTCAATTTGATGATGAGTCAACAAAGCTTCCTTTCGGAACTCAACTTTCTCCTGGCAGTTCAATTGATGTGAACTTAGCTAAGGTGAGCTTGGAGTTGAACGGTGAATTCAGTGAAGCTGAGCTGAAAAAGATTTTGGCAAATGATAAGCTTGCTGAGATTGCATTGTCAGATCCCAAACGTGCCAAAAGGTATTGTACTTTTGAATTTTGGATGTAGTGTAGTTACTATTCCATAACTGAGTTCATTTCTTTTCTTTGATTGTGTTAGGATTTTGGCTAATCGTCAATCAGCTGCTCGCTCCAAAGAGCGGAAGATGCGATACATTGCTGAATTGGAACAAAAGGTGCAAACTCTGCAGACAGAAGCAACCACATTGTCTACCCAGGTTACAATGTTACAGGTGTGTATCTAAGCTGTTGATAATAGCCCAATTATCTGGATGGTCGCTTCTTATGTGTTTTGCTCCCTTTTTCTTGATTAAATATTACCTATTTACTTGTTGGTCGTGTTTACCTTGTATATTTTCAGAGAGATTCAGCTGGGCTTACGAGTCAGAACAATGAATTGAAATTCCGTCTTCAGGCCATGGAGCAACAGGCTCAACTCAAAGATGGTATAAATTTTTTTTCTTGTTTAATTGCCCTCTCCTTATACATTACAACTGAGACCTACTTTTATCTACATGCTGCAAATATCTGATGTTTTGCCATAATATATGTTGACCAAATCAATGTCTAAAATTCTTCATCCAGGTTTGCTATAATATGAGATCTTAAAATGTCTGAAGAGAGTTTTCTTCTCATTGCATTCTTTTTTATCGATTGATACCTCTATGTGATTTAATACGTTATGTACTCTGGCTATTCTTAGCAGGCATTGATTTCCAGAGCTTGCTATTCCTAATTTTCTTTTGTCCTGCTTATTTGATCAGAAAATCTTTGAGTAGAATGAAAATAAATTTAAGAAAAGTATTGTTCAAAGTTATCTGGTTTCTTGAGGCAGCTTATCTATGAGACTTGTTAATTTTTCAATGTAATTATGAGTATTCTGCTGAATAAAGGCACCCCCCTACTCAGGTGTTTAAAGAGTGATAAGAATAGGGAAGACTCTCAAAGCAATTAAATCCATTTTAAACTGTCCAAAAGATGTCCAACCTGATGACAGACGATGAAAATGAACTGAGCATGTTTTGCTTAGTTACAAATAGGAATCCTTTACGTTTCTTTTCTTGAAATATAAAACAGTGGTGAAACCAGTTTTCAATTGACTATTTTTAGTATGCCATCTAATTAGATGTAACTGGTGCAAAACTGCTGTTTTGTTATTTTGGGCACTATCTTTTAATTGGTTCATCAGGCATTGCAATAGTTGAGATTTTGTCTTGAATGGGTAGCAGCAACTTTTCTTCTATTGTCCAATGTTGTATCAAACTTATAATCCTAATTATTGTGAATAGGTAGTTATCTTTTCTGAGAAGTGAAGTGTAGAATGATGCAACTATAAGTATTATATCTTTTTGGCTCAATGTAGTAATGTTGACTGTAAACCATTCTATCAGCTTAAATTTAGTGTTGCAGAATCAAATTCCCGCTTTACTTGGGATCATAGTTTTGTTCCTCGTAATGTTCGAAATGGCTGATTCAAGTTCTTATCGTGTAGTGGTTTGGCTCATTGCTACTCCTGCATTTTATATAATATAGTGAATCATGGGAATTGGTTTTCCCTTGCCTGTTAACTTATCTAAAATCTGAAGTCACTCCCACTTGTTTGGGATGATGTTGATTTTATGGGCTTTGTTTGGTGTAAAACATTGATTTTGTTTTATGATTGATTTGGCAGCTTTAAACGAGGCATTAGCTGCAGAAGTACAAAGATTAAAGGTTGCAGCCGCAGAGGTGAGTGGAGAGACCAATCTTTCAAGCCGCATGGCTCAGCAGCTTTCAATAAGTCATCAGATGTTCCAAATGCAGCATCAGCAGCCAAACCAAATCAATATTTATGAGTTACAACAGCAGGCCCAGTGTAAGCAATTGCAGTCCGAGCAGCAGAATGGTGAGGCTGAGGCTGCTATCCGTGATCCAAAGTAATAGGCTTGTCAAGTCAAGTTTATTCAAATTGCATAGTTTCTGAACCCCCGTAGCACATATTATACTGGCTTCAGTATTCCTTATTATAAATATATATTTTTTACAGAGAACTTTACCATTGTTTTATATGTTCTGGTTGGTTTTTCGTGTGTAGACAATGTAGAACTGAAGCTGAATTCTTCGCTTGTTCATTTATCTTCCTTGAACAATCTCCCAGTTTATAGAGAAATGAATTATGTTTAATCGTAGTTATGTCTGCCGTTGGCCAATGATGTAAAAGTTGAAACTAGTACTGGGGCTTGTTTTAAGAAATGAATGAAGATAATTGTATTATTTTCATCCAATTGAAGTTGGGTTTACCTTTTTACAGGGCCTAAGTTATATGAAATTGTGACATCTTTCCCACAACTTGTTTCCTAAATAACGTTAAAAATTACGAGAACCTTAATATTATTAAGTCGTACTTTGCTGCTTCATTAACAAGTTTTGATTTCCAGTTCACCAATCAAAACTAAATTGATAATCCTTTGTAATTGAGAGATGTCAGGCCCATAGAATGATGAGGCCCATAACTTACAGGATAGCTAGATAGATAGAACTGACAGAGGGAACGAACAGAGCGCGTTTAAACTCGTGTTATTTTATTCGACTTTTAATAAAATACAAATTGAATTTGTATTAGGTTAGGTACTAGTTTTTAACTAAACTAAGAGAAAAGAAAAAGAAAAAAGAAAAAGAAAAAGAAAGAGAAGATAAACAAAATCTAATGAGTATTTGACCGCACCCAACACAATCCTTCATTCTCTCTCCACAATTTATTTCCTTTATTAATTAAAAGAGACCCTATTCTCGGAAACCCAAAAACAATCCCTTTTTATACACTCTTCTTCACAACTACTTCTCTTCCTCGTTTTTGAATTAGGGTTTCCTTCTTTTTCTGTTTCTTCTTTTCTTTCACCTTAAACCCCCTTCCCCCAATCATCTACTCTACTAGCCGTTGCCCGTTGCCCTTCTCTTTCCCGCCACTTTCACTCTTATCCTAGCCGTTGCTCCTCCTTTTTCAAATTCCACCCGTTAGATCTGTGCTCCCTCTAAATTTTGACTCTTGTTTGCCGGGTTTGACTCGAAATGTCTGAGGTTCAAGCCGAGAAGAAAGTTGAAAAAGAGGACGAGAAGAAGGTAGCGAAGGGAGGAGAACTCTTGTTTTGTGGATCCACTTGTTGGGATTTGGTTGGTCGTCGTAAAGGTACTCTTGAAGGCAACTTGGTCTCCCCCACCCGCCTCCGCCCTCTCGTTGGTATTGACATCCGGTTCGTTGCCTCTGGTTGCGGTTAGTTTCACAGCTCATTTTCTGTATATAGACACGTATGAATGTACATACGCTGCTTTTTTTCTTAAACAAAACTTAAATAATGTTTCGTCAAAGTTGATGTTTTTCTCAAATTGGAAAGATATATAATTTTTATGTCCATTTGATTTATAGCATTATCTATTAGATAGTTTGTTTACTTATTGCTGATAGTTTTTACTGTGAATTGAGTTTTTATTTTATTTTTGTGTAAATGGTGTTGTAGTATCGTGTCATTGTGTGGCGTTAGATGTTGAAGGGCGTTGCTACACGTGGGGACGAAATGAGGCATGACATTATTAAACTCACCTTTGTATTGTTTTCTTATGTATATGTTTCAATACTCAGTGTTGTTCATATCTATTGATGAAACTTAGCTGTGTCTGTACAGAAGGGTCAACTGGGTCATGGGGATAAAATTCAGCGTGATAGGCCTACCGTTGTTTCCGAGCTTTCAAAGTAAGTTGCTGCTTTCTTAACTTAGTCAGTTTTGTTTGTATAGCTTTAATCCAGTAGAGTTGAGAAGCCTCCTTAATTCTACGCCTTTGTTAAGCATGGGCCGGGTTGTTCCTATCTTTAAGTCAACCTTTTTTATTACAATTTGTGTCCCCACTGATCATAGAATGGAGAAATAATTGACATCTTTCTTGCATGGGAGTGTAACATCTGAGCTAGTAGCTTCCTCTTAGCTTTATGGTTTCGGGAAAGACAACTTTGATTCATTCAGGATAGAGTTAAAAATAGTGATTTTTCTGTTTTTAACTTGTTGTATCCCAAAATCGGCAATTTTCTGTTAATTGTTAATCAATACAATTTTTAAGTCAGCGAATGTTTGAATATTCTAGGGCTAACATCTGATCCTTATTATCGTTTGTGCTGAAGGTACAAAATTACGAAGGCTGGAGCAGGGAGGAGCCACACTGTGGTGGTTACTGAAGATGGTCATTCCCTAGCCTTTGGTTGGAATAAACATGGGCAACTGGGTTCAGGTTCAGCAAGAAATGGTGAGTTCAGTTTTGTGAAGTTCGTTGTGTACAATGTTTCATCACAAACATATTTTTATCTAAGGAGTGAATTACCTTTTGTTATCGCATCATTGCGTTGCACTTCAAAGGAGAATGTGAATAGATTTATAATCTTTATACTGATTTATTTGTTTGTAGAAATTGAGGCATCTCCTGTTCGCTGTCTTGTATCTGAAGTGAAAAGTACTGCATGTGGGGCTGACTTTACTGTGTGGTTATCATCAGTTGAAGGAGCATCTATACTGTATGGTTGTATATTTGTTTTCATTCAGTTTCTTAATTTGTTAGCTGATAATATTCAGGCTTTTTGGCTTTTAATATTGTTGACTGCTCACTGATTTACTGAAAAATGTTTGGAGGTTTGTAGGACTGCTGGCCTACCACAGTACGGTCAGCTTGGGCATGGAACAGACAACGAGGTATGTGCATAGAAGTTTGTTTTTTATGCTCTCAGTAATTTATATTTTTCCATGTTCCCAGACCATATTACATAGTTCGGATGCCTTATGTTATCGTAACCTAATAGTTGATTTTCCAATAAATTATTGGATTTCTAGTTATTGGAGGGTAAAGTTTTAGTAATGGTATTGCTATAATGCTGTGGATGGCCAGTGGCAGTGAAAGGGTGGTGTTAAGTAACAATTCCAGATTAAACTTGCTAATGGGACTTCATATTTGTAAATCTTGACATAAGATCTTATGTGTTTGCAGTACAATACTAAGGATAGCTCTGTGAGGCTTGCTTATGAAGCTCAACCTCGCCCTAGAGCAATAGCTTCTCTTGCTGGAGAAACCATTGTCAAAGTTGCATGTGGAACAAACCACACAGGTTGACAATTAACATTTGTTCTCACTCTCTCTCTTGTTTTCCTTCAGAAAATTTCATGTATTTGTCTGTCTTGTTTTCTAATTTTATTTTGGCATCCAGTGGCTGTGGATTCAAAGGGCTATGTTTACACGTAAGTACACCCTTGTTTGATATCATTTGATACACTTATGCTTTATCTTTCTCCAGATATGTGATATGTGGTGACAACTAACTGTACATCTGTGCTGAAATTATGTTTAGGTGGGGCTTCGGTGGTTATGGGAGGTTGGTAATTGCTATCTCAAATAAGTTACCTTGATGGATGCATTTTGGGCTAAGGAAACATACCTTTTATTTAAGCAAATTTTTGGATTTGAATGTTTTTATCTGTTGTACGGATCATTCATATGATTTCTTTTTGCAATCTTGTAGGCTTGGACATAGAGAGCAGAAAGATGAGTGGGCCCCTCGTCGTGTTGACATCTTTCAGAGGCAAAATGTTCTGCCTGCTGATTCTGTCATTTCAGCTGGTTCTGTGAACTCTTCATGTACTGCAGGTATTGTATCTTACTAATATTTTAATTGAACACTACTTGGTTGGGAGCTTTTTACTCCCCTACCAAATCCTGTGATTATCACACTTTGTAAACTTCTTGGGCATGAATTAAACAAGTGCTGATTTCAAAAGGTTTGGAATTTGTTGCTTATATGTTTTCTGCAAGCCATTGCCTTTAGGAAATTAGCATTTAGTTTTGTTACTGATTCCCTTGTTTCCAGGTGGTGGACAGCTGTACATGTGGGGCAAATTAAAGAATAATGGTGATGACTGGATGTATCCTAAACCTCTCTTGGATTTAAGGTTATACTCTGGTTAATTTATTTTCAATGTACTCGTTGCTGTTTTTGTGTAGCCATAATTCTCACCATCATTCATTTACAATACCTACCTTCCTTTGTGTGAATCCTGGTTTGTGATTTTCTTCTCTTAGATTGTACTTTTTTTTTTTGGCCAGAGCGTGATTTAGTTATTAGTCTTTTCTTTTGGTGGTTTCAACTAAGCTACAAGTTAAGAACCATCTTTGAAGCCTAATATTCACTGTTCTTTTTCTTCTCTTTTTATTTTATTTTTATTTTTTTATAATTTTACTACTATTGATATTTTTTATTTCTGTTTGGCTGATGCAACCGATCTTTTATCAAGAATCCGCTCAGCGTAATTGTTATCTTTGATCAAGTCTTTCCTACTTTTGAATTTGCTATTTAGAGAGTTCTTATGTGTGATTTTCCCAAAAAAAAAAAAATCAGAGTTCTTACGTGTGATCTTACTTTTGCTTTAGTTCAAGTTGTAGCAGAGTGGTCTTGAAACAATATATCCTGTTATTTTCTAAAATTGTTTATCTCCATTGAGAGACCGTTGAGTGTAAATAAGGAATCTACTGATTACGTGCGGGATTGCAGTGGAGTTTCTACGGTTAAAGCAGAGATGTACCAAATTTGTTAAGCTGCTTCTTTGTGGAGTGAAGTAGACTTATGTTACTAGATACAATTTTTCAGTTATATTTGATCTGAATATATTACAAGGAATTTCAATTTTATCATTTTTTTTTTTTTTTTTTTTTCAATTGTCAATGTGTGTTGGTGAATATCTGTTGAAAAAGAGTTCAGCTGTCTTTATTGGTTGAGGATAGAGGTCTTGCACTTGTCTTCATTGTCCAGTGGTCTTTTTTTTTTTTTTTTTTTTTGGTGTTATGATCAATGTTCTGAAAACCAGACCGGACAATGACCCTTCAAGTGTCCGGTTTCCGGTTGGATTGTGTCGGTTGACCGTAATGTGTAAAATTACATTTTAGTCCCTGAAGGTTTAAAATTCATCAAAAACACCCCTTAATACTCCCTTAAGGTTTGAAATCTATCTAAAACACCCCTGTCATGCGAGAATTCTGGTGAGTGGTGACGCAGCGATGATCGACGGCCAATCGAAGCTGGAATCTTGGGGCTTTTGATGTGTAGGTGCCGACGACTCTGATGATGGTGCCAGGAGTTCCATCGCGCCGAAATCCGCGGAATCAACAAAAGAACTCTGACGGTCGCGTGAATTTAGGTGGACGGCGAGCGACGATGGCTGACGACGGCCACTGAAAATGGCAAGGTTTTGTAGTGGAGATGCCGTCAAGTCTAATGGCGGTGATTTCTCCCTCGATCGGTGCCGGATCTGGCGGATTCAACCGCGATTCCACTATTCTGGCGGTCCAACCGCGTCCAATCCGGTTAATGCATTAGCGCTTTTTTACGTATTCCGGACCGGAAATGTCGCTGGTCACCGGTCGAACCGGTCCGACCGGACGGTCCGGTCCGGTTTTCAGAACCTTGGTTATGATACTTGATGTGCTTGCTTGGGTACTATGAGTTTTTTATTGCACTAATACCGTTTACTCTTCTCTTCAGTGGTTGGAATTTACGTTGCATGGATTCAGGCAACATGCACCATTTTGTTGGTGCTGATTCCTCCTGCATTAGTTGGGGCCATGCTCAATATGGAGAGTTGGGATACGGCCCTAATGGACAAAAGTATGTGATCTTGCCATATTATGGCTTTATGTCTTTGAAGTTTATCCCTTTATTCTCTTAATATTCAATTTTGTGTTTATTGTTTTCAGGTCTTCAGCCATGCCAAAAAAGGTAGAGATTCTCGAGGCCATGCATGTTATGAGGTGGGTATTCGTTAGTATATTAATTATTATTAACACCTCTAATTCCCATTCTTAAAATTTATGTATGGACATGATTTTTTTTTCCTTTTTTTTCTTTTTCGGTAGTGTTGCATGTGGTTATGGCCATTCCATGGTTATAGTGGATAGAACAAATGTTGGTGACCGACTTGATCAGGTATTTCTTCTGTAATAGTTGATAGAACACATGTAATTGGCATTCTTTAAATGGCTTTCTTTGTGCTTTATGATGAAGTCTCTGGTTAAAAGTGCATGAATGCTTGTTAGCGCTATTATGGAAAGTAGAGTGCAATATTTTTATTCATCGCCTTGATATGGATAGGAGCAATGGTGCTTTATTAGACACTTAGTGAATTAGAGTTATAAAGCGTTATTTTTCAAGCATGAAAGGGCCTCATAGGTGTATGTTTAACTCAACCTCTTTTGGATTATTAAATTTCATTGTGGGTGAACCAAACTAGGCTTTGGATTCTGTTGGATTAATTATATATGTTCAAAGTTTTTATTTTGTAGCTGCTATTTGTTAATTTTGTTACTGATGTGGTGGGAGCTGTCTAATTTTTGTGTTTTTTACAGCTTGATATACATGACGGCAAAGCTTCTGGTGAAGGTAAGCTGATGTTAAGAGCTTCTGTATTTAGTCATTTGTCTGCCCCTTTATAGGAAGCAATGTTGCGGATTTGTGGCCAATACAAATTATGGGTTAAGGTGAGACACCTGGGTTGGTTGCGTTACTAATTAGGAATTACTCTTCCTGCAGTGAACGAGGAACCACAAAATAAAGCTCCAGTTTCCACAAAAAAGAGTGCTGCTAAAGCTTCTGATAAGTCCAAGAAGAGGAAAAAATCAAAAAGTTCTTCGGAAGAGGAAGAGGAAGAGGAGGAAGAGAACAGTGATGATGTAAGTGACGACAGTGAAGAAGAGGCTAATGGAGAGATGAACCATAAGAAACAGTCAGGTGGGAAGGGCTCTGGCAGAGGTCGAGGTAAGGGGGCTAATAGCGTATCAGAAGATGGAAAAGGTACAAGGCGTGGCCGGGGTCGCCCTCCTTCGGCAAATAAAAGCTCACAACCTACTCAGGGAAAAACCGGAAAGAGGGGACGCCCTCGTAAGTCATAACTTACATGCACCCTCTTTAAATCAGAAATTTTGTTCTCTCTATGTAGAGATGAAAGTTTACCTTGTTTTATACAGGCGGGGGAGTATTTGCGTTATTTTTTATCTTTTTTTTTGGTCAATTTATATTTTCAAACGCTTGCTCACCATCTTATTATGATTGGTTGTTGACAACAACATTACTGGACTAACTCTATAATTTGTCGTCAGGGAGAAGAAAATTGTTTCGAGTGCTTTTTGTACCAAAATTCATATTTCAAGGAAATTTTCTTATTGTTATACTCATTGCCACACTGAAACGAGGTGTTTGAAATTTTCTCGACTTTTATTCTGTTTATTTTCACCTTTTTACTTTTTATGTCCTGTTATTTGTTCGGATGACAGTAATGAGTAAACGGCAAAACTCTCAGAAGCATTGTTCAACCACTGTAAAATGGTGATTAATTAACATGCGGAAGAATAACCTTTTTTTATAAACTCTCGATTACACATGGTTCTCCAAATGGGTTTACATTAAACACTTCATGTGCTTAATGTTTCCCTGTTATGTATAGTGTATAGCCACTAGACACAGAGCATTTCTCCTGTGCACGGTAATACCTGCTAGAGGATCCAAATCTAAGTCTTCGTTCTTCATCCTAGATTCCATTTTCCAATCAAATTTGTAAGGAAGATTAGAAAGTCTCCACAATGGCAGTTCCCAAATGTATACCTGGGCAAATTTTCGACCAGCTCCGAATGGTAAGCTCAAAATGTTGCCCTTTAAAGTCAATAGGACTTCCAATGAATCTCTCTGGGTAAAATTCATCTGAGTTCTCCCAAACTTCAGGATCCCTTCCGACTGTCGATGCATTCACAAAGACCGAGTGTTTTAGCTGGAATTTCATACCCCTCTATAAGGCACTTTTCCGTTGTTTCTCTTGGAACTAAAAATGGATCCACCGAAAATGGATCCACCGGTTGTAATCTTAATGTCTCTTTAATTACAGCTCCAAGATAAGGGAGTTTCTGATAGTCATCTTCATCTACAAAACCTTTGTTTTTGTTATGCCTGGAAAAGTAGGACTGACGTAGAGCCCAGTCAGCATAAGTGGTCAGAGTCTAGGTAGATCCTGCAGCCATTCAGATGCGGCCACGTCGCGTGCTGGCGTAAGCAGCATGCTCCTGCCAGTGCAGTGGGTGCGCGCCAGACTGACGAAAGACTGGAGGTCGTCCACGTGTCCAATCCCTGCATAAAGCGAGGAGATCACGCGAGTAGGTGAATAACGGGCCGCAAAGGAGGATTTGCACGGTACCTGACCCCCTTTTTACGGATTCAGTAATGATTACTTCAATGTATCCCACTATAAATAAAGAGATTCTCTCCCGCTTGTGGATTGACTCATTCGTACTCTTGATTAGCTATTTTCTCTCTGTAGTAGCTCTCTCTCTCTCTCTCTCCCTCTCTCTCTCTTTCTCTCTCTCTCTCTCTCATTTGTACTCTCATCAGCTTGCTAGTCTATGACCTGATCCTTTAAATATAAATACAATATCAGTGGACGTAGGATTCGCTTGGTCAAGCATCCGAACCACTTCAAACATTGTCTTGTCACCATTTGCATTCTCAATCCCCTAATCACGTGTGTCTTCTGAGCCAACTCAGCATTTCACACGTTCGTTTAGTTGGTGTCAAAAGCATGCATCAACAGTTCGACGCTAGAAGGAGGGCCTGATTTAGTATTCGTCCTTCATCAGGAGAATCTCTGACTAATTGGTCCTACAACAACAAATGGCTCGCCGATTCGAACCTGAACGAACCAATCATGGTGCTGAGGAGATCCCCCAAGTGCAGGAGGACACTTCTCCCGGGGTGCCTTTGGTCCCACAAAATGTCGCGGGGGATATCCCTTCAAGTTCACAACTTGACCCTACCATCAGGAGCTACCTGGAGAGGTTCAACAATACTCTCCAAATGGTCAACCGAAGGTTGGACCGTTTGGACCAGGACGTGCCACCCAAATCAGCTGGGGTGGTGCAACCACCAAAAACGCCTGCAGGTCGTTTGAAAGCGCGGAGAAGGGTGATAGCCCAAGCCGCACGCACTGCAGCGTGTCAAAGGAAGGGTAAGCAAGTGGCAAACAACGAGCCTAAGGGCCCCAAAGGGTCGGTAAACACCGATCACGCCCCGGGTAGAATACCTATGGCGTTAAGACTCGGTGAAAGGTCGCAGCCTGAGCCGTCCCATGCCACGTCGCATGAACACCCCCATAAAAATGCTGGGCGGGACGATTCTCATCACCGCTAGAAAAACAATCTTGGTTGTCATCGTGCGGGAGCTTCCCACACTTTTTGGGGTGGTTTGTACCACCGCGGAGGTCGTGAAAATTTCCTGCACTGTTCATCGCCATCACACGACTCTAGCCAGCGTGTGTCAAGAGCAGCCGAAACTGCCGGTCGAGGCGAAGAGGAATCCGACCTCTGGACTTTCCTCAATCACAATCGCGAGGGTCGAACTTGCATGGGGGAAAGCAATCTCCAGATAGCTCCGCTGCCTCAGATTGAGGAGCTGCAGCGAGCTCTAGATCAGTTAAAAGCTCAGCAAAACGAGCAAGGGTAGGTCGTAGCAGTGTCTCCCTTTTCTCCGGCAGTATTAGCCGCCCTTCTCCCATCAAGATTTAGAATGCCTGATATGCGGGCGTTCGATGGAAATTCTGATTTGCAGGATCACTTGTATGAATTCAACGACCTGATGAAGCTTCACCAGGTTTTAGATTTGGCGAAGTGCCGTTGTTTGACAATAACCCTAACCTCTCATGCCAAACGGTGGTTTAGGTCGCTCCCAGTGGGGTCGATCAGTTCGTGGCCTCAGATGAGCACGACGTTCCTGATACATTTCCAAGCAAACCGAAAGTTCTCAATGCCTTTAAGCTACCTTAGTAACATAAGGCAAGAGAGGGATGAATCCCTCCAGTCTTACATCGATCGACTCCACAGAAAACTTAATAAGGTAGCTCACACTCCCGAAGAGTCTATTCGGACTCTCATCATAGCGGGATTTCGCCCACAGACCGACATGTGGAAAGAGCTACAGGCTGAGGATGATGTTTCCCTCACCCGCTTCTACAACCTTGCGGCGACGTGCCTCCGTATTCAAAACTTCGTAGCGGCACTCCACCGTCGCGACCTCGACGCTTCAGGTAGTGCCTCTAGTCAGGGGGAAAGTAAGAGAGTTGATCGCAGATAGGCTAATGACGATCAACGAAAAGGAAAGAAACCGCTGTACAAGCCCAAAAAGTCTTATGCTCCAGTTCCTCGTCGCGATCACGACAGAAATTAGTATATGCCTTTGAATGCATCTGTATCGGCTATTCTTGACAAGTCAGAAGAAGCCAGCCTGCTCGAAGAGCCCGAGCCCATGAAAAATCCCCCATCAGCCAGAAATAGTAAAAAATGCTATCGCTTTCATCGGGATAATGGGCATCACACCGATGAGTGCCGAGCTCTCAAACAGGCAATCGAAGACCTCATCAAGCAAGGGCATTTCAAAGAGTATATTGATGTTTCCACTCCCGTACAGGAGAAAAATCAAGGGGAACCAGGAAAGAAGCGTCGTGATTGCAAGGGTATCTACAGCGTCAGAATGATCTTTGGGGGATCATATGCTCGCGCAACCCATCACGACCCCATCAGTGTGATGAGCATGACGCGACGACCACTAAAGGTTCGTAAAGAGGAGGAGATTACCTTCTCCGAAAAGGATGCAGTTCGCCTGCATCATCCCCATGATGACGCTCTGGTGATCACACCCCTAATAGGACGCTTCGACGTCTACATAATGTTAATGGACAACGGAAGTGCTGTGAACATCCTGTTCCAGGCAACTTTCGAAAGAATGAACTTGGACGAGGCTGACCTGAAGCCCGCCTCGATCCCCCTATATGGTTTTACAAGAGACCACCTGATCCCCAAAGGAACGATCTCGCTTCTAGTCACGCTGGGTGACTTCGACGAGGTGATCAAGGTAACTGAGTTCTTAATAGTTGATTGCCCATCCGCTTTTAATGGTATCTTAGGGCGACCTCTGTTGAGAAATTTCAAGGCGGTCACTTCGATATACCATCTGAAGATGAAGTTCCTCACCCTGACAGGGATAGGGGAAGTTAGCAGATCACAGCGCGCATCTCGCGACTATTATGTTAGGGCAGTGCAGATGGCGTGCAAAGGGAAAGACATCTTGCGCGGCATTCCCCGACAAGCAATGGCGATCAGTTGGATCGAGCCGCAGCCTGGCCCAGCCGATGATCATATGGATCCTCGCATCCAAGAATGCCCTTCTAGTGGGCCAGTTGAGGACCTGTCTGAGGCGTTGGTTGACCAGAGCGAGCCGAGCACAATGTTAAGGATTGGGAGCAATCTCAACCCCCAACTCGACACCGAACTGACCAGCTTCCTCAGAGAGAATATCGATGTGTTCGCATGGTCACATGCATATATGGTCGGGATCAGCCCGAATATTATTTGTCATGCTTTGAACATCGACAGTGAAGCCAAGCCAGTTCGCCAGAAGAGAAGAGCGATGGATTCGGAACGATATGCTGCCTTGAAACTTGAGGTAGATAACCTCCTTCAGAACAAATCCATCCGAGCAGCGCTCTATCCAAGCTGGGTTGACAACTTGGTTCTAATAAAGAAGCCCAACGACAAGTGATGGACCTGTGTCGACTTCACCAACCTCAACAAAACATGCCCAAAGGATACTTTTCTCTTACCCAGGATTGACCAACTCATGGACGTCACCTCCGGGCACGAGTTGCTGAGTTTTATGGACGCGTACTCGAGATACAATCAAATTTCGATGTACGCATCGGACGAAGAGCATACATCCTTTGTTACAGATCGGGGGCTGTACTACTACAAAGTTATGCCCTTCAGCCTCACGAACGCTAGCGCAACTTACCAGCGGCTGGTTAATCGAATGTTCTCCGAGCAGATCGAGAAATCGATGGAGGTCTATATAGATGACATGCTGGTCAAGTCGCATGTTGCTTCAGATCACATAGCGCATCTCGCTGAGATGTTCGACATCCTCCGGAAATACAGAATGAAGCTAAACCCTCTCAAGTGTTCATTCGGAGTGTCCTCGGGAAAGTTCTTGGGATACATGGTTAACCAGAGGGGAATAGAGATCAACCCCGAAAAAATCCAAGCTCTCCTTGAAATGAAAAGGCCGACCAACAAAAAACAGGTCATGAGCCTCAATGGGCAAATCGCGGCACTCAGTCGTTTCATATCGAGGGCAACATATCACAGCTTGCCGTTC